TCTACTTTGTGTGTATTGCATAGTTGTCATGCATTCAAAGTTAAAATAAAATTAATTATTATTATTATTAGTAGTAGTACCATTATTATATTTTTGAGACAGGATGGGATTCAGGCTTGCCTCCCTCAGGTGCTGGGATCCCAGGCCTGCATCTCTAGACCCAGCTTCCATTAATTACTTATATAAGGTTCCCTATTCTCACTATCACTTTCTGTATGTTTAGAACTGGGCACGGGATCCCTGGCTTTGTGCATGGTAGGCAAGGGCTCTGCATGAGCCAGCCCACAGTTCCCTGTTTCCACCTGTTTTTAGTGATGGACAGAATCAGTGTGTGATGTCATGCCTATATATTAGTAAGCTACAGGCACGTATGTCTTTGGCCAAATTCACATGCTCTGACAGCGCTTAGCAACTCAGTCCACTAAAGCTGGCATTCCAGTTTGCATTCTTATTTGGAACACCAATTTTTGTTTCAATTTGTGGGTTTTTTTGGGGGGTGGGAGTAATTGTTTGGCTCTGTGGACATGGTGTCTGAGCTCAGTGGCATGAGTTCCTTGAGGGCTCTGTACTCTGACATTTGTGTTTTTTGGGAATGGCGTATGGAATTGGGATATTAGCAGTGGGTACAAATAAAGCTGCCATTAGCGGGGGTATTTATGGATCTATTAACAAAAGCTGAAAAGTACAGTGTCAATTAACGAAGATGTATAATGAGAATTAATTTTCCATGAATTGAGAAGTAAACATGATAACCCCACAAGCACTCAGAGCCTCGGAGAAGCCAGATCAGTCACTCTAAAAGTCACTCGGGAGAATTCTTTAGTAGCTTGAGATGGGGGGGGGGGGAGAGACCCGAACCATTTCTAAAGTCAGTCATATACACACAGGCTAACAATAACTAATGCTTCCCAACAGACACAAATGGAAGTGAGTCCACCTGCCAGGTGACTAGAGACTCTAAAAATTGAACCAGGAACACCTGGAAATATTATCTTTAATGTCTCCTGTTCAGACTCTTGGAATTTGCTTGACTAATCGCTGTTGCTGGTGGCCTGAAAAATACCTGCAAATCCCCCTGAAAGCCTCTGTCCTTCCTGCTGCCTCTCTGTGTTTCCCCAAGATTCTGAGTGATCTGGGTTAACCCCCCCCCCCATTCCTGACCTCAAAGGAACGCATTCCTAGTGTTTCCAGTGGGGAGGCTCACTCCAGCTAGCTCTCCCCCAAGCCTGTCATTCACAAGGGAAGCGTCCTCAGCCAGGGCTCACAGCTCTCTCATTCACACGCTTCCCCGAGAACCCACTGCCCCAGCCTCTTCTCTAGGAAGACATCCTTGCTGTTCGGAAATCAGTTTGCAACATCACATCGGTCCTTTCCAAAAGACCTTGCAGGGGGAGGAAAAATCAGGAATTGCACAGTATGAGAAAAAGGACAGATATCAGCCCTCTTCCATTCGGCCCTCATTTCCGAACACGCATCCCACACGTTCTCACAGCATAGACCTCAACACCCCTTCAGGGTTGAGAGCGATTTTCAAGGGGAAACACAGAAACTAAGGATTCCCACAAGGAAAAAAAAAATCAGAAACAGAGCGGGGCTAGGAAAATGGCTTTTCTCCTCCAGGCCCAATTCTTCCTTCTGTTAATAGCATTTTCCTATTCAAGAGGCCGTGCGGGGATGCACCCCTGCAGGCTTTGCTCTTCTAAAGGGCACCCCGCCTGCCTCCCTTCGCCCCCGCGGTACTCACGGCAGCTGCCTGAGCTGGAACAGGTCCTCCTCCATGTCCGCGCTGCGCCAGGGCGAGCCTGGGCATGGCCCTTACATGGTGGAGCACCGCCGGCGCGCCGGCTTTCAGCACCGGGATGCTGGACAGCTCCGCCGCTTCCTCCCTGGGCAGCAGCTGGGGGAGGGAGCCCTGCCCGGGAGACAAAGCCGCCGCCGCCGGAGACCGACGGGAGTGGGCGGAGGACGAGGGGAGGGCTGCGCGGTAGAGGGGGCGGGGCGAGCCCTGCTGCTCCCAGGAGCCCAAGGTCCGCTGACTGGGGGTGTCTGCGGGGCTCCCCCGCCTGCCAGATGATGCCTCCCTCCCCGAATGTTCGTAGGAATTTATTTGATGTTCTGGAAGCTTTAATAAGTTCTGGGTTGGAAATGTCCTCCGTGCATTACACTACTGTGTGCTGAGCACCTACTGGGTGCCAGGCACAGTAGCAGGCTGTTGACAGGACACTTTTGCACAGAGCTGAGGGCCTGATGAAATGGACCTAGGAAAGGAACAGAAGGCGGAAAGGTGACAGGGTTATCCATTCTTCACAGTGTGACTAGAACTCCAACTCCTTGAATTTTCTTGGATGTATCCCAGGTGCCCGGGAGAGCGTGCCTGGCACACAGAGCGTCCTTAGTAAACATCCATCATGGCCGAGTGTGGTGGAGCAATGGAGGGTGAAACAGGAGGACCATGAGTTCGAAGCCAGCCTGGGTTACTAACAAGCTCAAGGGCAGAGAGGTACAGGTCAAAACCGTGTCCGAAAAGCTAAGGCCGTCATGGTGGCTTCCATCCCTACACTTGGAGGCAGAGGCAGGTGAAGCTCTGTGCGGTCCAGGACAGCTACAGAGTGAGATGCATGGGAGGGAGGAAGGAAGGGAGAGAGGAAAGGGGAGGGGGGAGGGGAGAAAATATCACAAGGGAGCGAGCCTCAGTTCAAGATGTCCATAATCACTTGACTCCGTCCAAGGTTATGGAACCTACTGGGGGTGGGCCTGGTGCCCGGACGCTTAAAGAGCTCTGTCTCCCTTGGATGGTTCTTGCCAAGGTCTTTCACTTGATTCCAGAGTGCCATAGCCAGTCTGTCTAGTCACTTTGCTCTTGGAATTTCCAGTGTCCACCTCCTGTATGCCAGGACTTCCCAGAGGCCGCCAATCCCACCTGTGGGTTGGGGCTTCCACACTGCAGTCTTTATGGTTGGTTGCACAACAAGTTCTTAGCCCACTGAGGCATCTCTCTACCCCATCTTGGCTACTTTTTACCTGTTAGTTGCAATTTGTCCTCCCATACTCTTTTGTAAATCTACCCCACCCCTGCTCTATACCACATTGGGTAACACAACTCCTAGCCTCAGTGGAGTGGTCCAGGAGGCAGACACTGTCCCAAAGGTATCCAATGCAGGGCTAGAGGTGTGGCTCCACTGGTCTGGTAGAGGCTTGCCTGGCATGCATGAAGTGCTGGATTTCCAACTCCAGCATTCGTGAAGATCAGAAATCCAAGGTTGTCCTTGCCTACACATTGAGTTTAAGGCCCTGCCTCAAAAAATTATATACATGACTCTGACTCTCTCTCTCTCTCTCTCTCTCTCTCTCTCTCTCTCTCTCTCTTTCTGTGTGTGTGTGTGTGTGTGTGTGTAACATCATATATGTGACATACAACAAAAACATTGGTCAGTAGCATCTTCTCATTAATAGAGTCAAATGCTGTTGAATTACCATGTGGCTCTATGATAATTAGCTTTGTCAGCTCTAGAGTAACCTGGGAACAGAGTCCCAACAGGAGCTGTCTACATTAATGCGCCCTATATGTCACCATCATCATCATTACTATTATTATTACTTTGGTTTTTTTGAGACAGGGTTTCTCTGTGTAGCCCTGGCTGTCCTGGAACTCACTCTGTAGACCAGGCTGGCCTCAAACCCAGAGATCCACCTGCCTCTGCCTCCCAAGTGCTCCTTAAGTTGTCTTCTGACCTCCATGCGCGTATTAGGACACATGCCTCCCCAGTGAATAAGATGTAGTTTTTGTTTTTTTAAAATCGACTCAAGGTTGTAAAATGCCACAGTTGCTATGGAAAGCAATATAGAAGTGTCTGAAAAACAATTGCCATATAAATCTGTACTGTCACTCCTTGGTACATACACATCCAGGAGAATTGGAAGCAAAAGCAGAAAGGGAAAAGGTTCATGTGCCTGTGTTATTGCCAAGAAGTTGGGACCACCTGAGCGCCCGCAGAGTAGAAGGGATGAGAAGCTAGTACTGACAACGGAATATTATTTTTGCTATAGTTCTGAACCAAGCCAATCACCAAGACTCTTCCCATGAGGGTCCTGGAGACAGCCAACCTCCAAGCATCAGAAACGGAAGGTATTTACTAGGTTGCAGAAGGGGTAGGGAGAATCACACCGTTCCGTTTTGACAAGAGAGACACAGCAATGTGCTCGCGCAAGACAGGAATCGAGAAATGTACTTATTGATCATGTATATGACAGCGGCCCACCGGCTGGTAAATATCTGGTTTGTTTCCAGCCTTTGCTGTTTTGAAGAGTGATTCTAGGACCTGTGTATGGGGCTCTGAAGGGGGTAGGAAACTAAGAGATTCTTTTTAATTTATGGTTTGTGTGCTCGTACACTTTGTGTTTGAGAATGCGTATGCGTGCTTCTGTATGTGTATGTTTGTGTATGTGTGTATGTGAGTGCGCGTGTATATGTGTGTATGTACGCCTGTTGTGTGTGTGTGTCCACGTGTGTGGGGCACCATAGGCAGATCAGGACAACACTGGTTCTCTTTTACCGTTTGGTCCCAGGGACTGAACTCAGGTTGTGAGATTTGGTGGCAGGTGACTTTACCTGCAGAGCTATCTGGCCAGCCCACTTTAAAAAAAAAAAAAAAATCAAAGATGGGACCCCTTTTTTCTTTTTTTAATTCTCATTTTAAGGACAGTCTTTGGCCCACAGCTCTGTCCTGAAGGCGGGGCGTCTGCACTTCTGAATGAAGCCCGAGCAAACGCGAGGCAGCAGTGCTCACAGCCCCGGACGCAGTGCTCGGGCCGGGAAGCCTCCCTTAGCAACGAATCAGGCCGCCGTTGCTAAGGGAAGAGGAACCGGGGAGAGCTCGTCCGTGCACTATTGAGGTCCGGCGGCAGCAACTTCCGGCTCGTCGCCCTGTCTTCCCCAGCCGAGGCGGGGTCGCTAGCGTGGGTTCCGCCGCCTCGGGCACCTCGCGCGCTGGGATCCTCGCTTCGCTGCTGCGGGCGGGCGGGCGGCGGCGGCGGCGGCGGCCGTGATGCTGAGTTCCCGGGCGCAGGCGGCGAGGACGGCGGCCGACAAGGCCCTGCAGCGCTTCCTGCGCACCGGGGCGGCCGTCAGGTGAGCGGGCGGAGGGTGGCGGGCCCGGGGCCTCCAGGCCTGCGCCGACGCGGCCGAGACGGGGCCGCGGCCCAGCGCCGCCTCCTCGTCCCTGCCGTGGCCGAGGCCTGCGAGGCCCCCGAGCCCTTTGCGGCGACCCCGGACCCGGACGCTCAGGCCCACAGCCTTGCCAGGCCCGCACGGCCCCTCCAGCTTGTTACATGGCCGTCTCCCACCTCTGCCCGCCCTGCCGGCAGTGCTCGCCTCTGCATCTCAAACCGCGCGGGTCTCCAAGCTAGCGAAGCCCCGCAGCTGCCAAGCCGCCCAGTCGGTGACGACTTAAGGCTCCTCGTCCCCGCTAGGACCCCTGCCTGCACCCCAGCCTGTGCATGCCTGCCTTCCCCAGGGCTGGGGACACACCCCCGTTGCTCACCCTGACTGTGGGACCTGTTGCTTGCGGTTGGCTTCCTGGGATCCTGGGGCAGGTCTAACATAACAGCGCCCTATCCTGCTTGGAAGCCCGCAGTGCCCAGCCTGTCCAGTGTCGGCATTCTAGCGATGCGAACTCAGCCTTGCATACCCTTGCCTGTGGTCTGACAGCTGGTCTGAAATCGGTGCTGGGCACGGCTTAGTCTTCCCACTCCCAGGGTTTCCTGCAGAGGGACCAGGCGATCAGCACTGTGTCCCTCAGTTTCCCTCGCTGAGTGTACACCAGGCAGGTGTCCTGTGACCTCTTCCAGCAGACTGATTTCCCCCGTTTTGGTTTTTAGCCAAGTTCTTTGCCATTCCATGGGCTCATCCTGGAAGAACAAAAACTGATTGAAATCCATGATTAGCTGTGATGTAGGGGAATGCTGGCTATTGCCTGACAATTATTGTGTTGTCACTAGGGACCCTTCGCAGTGAGTGTTCGTTGAACTGAGATACATATTCATGCAGTGGGGGTGGGGATGTATCTCAGTGGTAGAACATGTGTGTGCCATGTATGAGGCCGTAGGTTCAGTCCCTGGTACTTAGGGGAAAATCACCTTCATACAGTCCAAGTATTAGGGTAAGAATGTCCACGTGCACCACATGTGTGGGTTACATGTTACATGGATGTGTGGTTTGCCTTAAAATTGTGTTTTGAATACTACCGTGGTTTCCTTATCTATGGTAAAATAGCATTGTTTACGGCAAACCTGAAGTGAAGAGATCTTTAATGAATTCACAGAAGATCCCCATTGTATTGTTTAATAGTCCCAAAGAGAAACCCATTTCTAAAACCAGGTGCTGTGGCACAACTCTGTCGTTCCAGTTGCTCAGGAGCCTGAGGCAGGAGGATTAGAGTTCAAAGCCAGCCTGGGCTACAGAGTGAGTTAAAGGCTAGTCTGAGTGACTAAGGGAGGCCTGGAGTTCAGATCGCCAGAAGCTGTGTGAGCACCCGGGGCTTGCCATGAGCCTGCCTTTGGCAGGAAGAGGTGTGGGAATGAGATGAGCTGTGTCAGAGAACGCAGCTCAAATGAGAGGCCACACCTGAATGAATAAGGTAGCGAGCGATGAGGGCTCCCAGTGTCAACCCCCACTCCTGCCCCCCAATTTTGGATCTTAGTCCTTAAGCATCCTGGTGTTTAAGATTCTCTCTCTGTTTCATTTTTTTCAAGACATGGCTTCTCTGTGTAGTCCTGGCCATCTTGGAACTTGCTCTGTAGACCCGGGTGGCTTTGAACTCAGAGATCTGCCTGCCTGTGCCTGAGCTAAAGGCACGGCACCACCTTGCTTGACTTCAAGACATAATCTTATGGGTGTACATTGCCTTAGGGTTAAAAGCTTGCTGGTTGCTGGGTTACTCTGACAAATTGTCTCTCCCTGCCAGTGTCTCAGTACACCTGCCGCTGTGAGACAATGTGACAGTTGGTGTCTTTTCTGTTTTAGATACAAAGTCATGAAGAACTGGGGAGTGATAGGCGGGATTGCTGCTGCTGTGGCGGCGGGGATCTATGTCATTTGGGGTCCCATTACAGAGAGGAAGAAGCGGAGAAAAGGTAGGGGCAGGCTTTGGAATGGGCTAGAGCGCCTTTTGTGTGAAAGCTAGAGGAAGCCGGGGGATTGGGTGGCCGGTCCTCTTCACCTCTAAAGCGAGGCCTGTGCACACAGCCCCACCCTGTGGTGGGAAGGCTCTGTCTCAGCACCTTCTTGCCCTTGATTTTAAAACATGCCTTGTGCTGTCCCTGTGGCTCATGCCTGTAATTCCAGCACTTGGGATGCTGGGGCAGGAAGATGCTGGGCCATGAGAGTTTGAATCCAGTCTGTGATATAAAGCAAGTACCAGGCCAGGCAGGGTTATATTGGCAAGACCTTGGCAAGGATGATGGGGTGGGGGGAGTGGGGGTGGGCTGGGGTGGGGAGGACGATGAGGCATGCTTTGTAATTATGTTTCAAGAGGCTCAATTGTCTGAGGTTCTCATTAATGTGGAATTGTCTTTTCAGTTCTGCAGCTGACAGATTACATCACAGGAGAGGTTTTTCTGAGAGGGAAAAAGGGAAGAGGAGGTAGCGAAGTCTGTTACAAAATCTGACCCCTGTTAAACACGGGACGGTTACGGTTGTAGAGAAGTTCACTATGTATTTTCATGGAAGTTTGACAATTTTCATATGAAAAAGTTTCTTATCAAGGCTTGGTAGTACACACTTAAGGTCAGCGCCCAGAAGGCTGAGGTTGGGGCTCTGAGGTTGGGGCCAGCCTGGGCTCTGGGCGCTGAGCTGATGACTTTTGGCAGGAAGAGGAAAAGAGGGAACCCTGTTAGCTGGTGCTGCTGCCTTTGCAGACAGACCGGCCAGAATCCGTGACTCTCGGTCACTGTGGCGAGAACAAAAGCATTGTCCCGGGAGGCGCTTCAGGTGCCAGCTGCTGTGGGGACAGAGAGCGCGAGGGTGAGGAGGAAGGCGTGGCTACCGCTTTTGTCCATTTGGTATGTGTGCCAGGCACCTGGATGGTTTCAGAGGGAGCACAGGGCAGCAGCCTGTTCTATGGTTCACAGTTCACAGCCTAGCATGCCCATGGAGGGCTCCCCTGCAGAGATGCAGGGTTCCAGATGGGACAGACAAGGCCAGCCCAGTGTGACGCACTACGGTCTTCCCCACACTCTCCTTTAGGGCTTGTCCCCGGGCTCGTCAACCTAGGGAACACCTGCTTCATGAACTCGCTGCTGCAGGGCCTGTCTGCCTGCCCTGCCTTCGTCAAATGGCTGGAAGAGTTCACCACCCAGTACTCCAGGGACCAGCAGGGGCCACACACACACCAGTGCCTGTCCCTGACACTGCTGAACCTCCTGAAAGGTACAGAGAGACTCGAGGGGTGTGCGTCTTCAGCATCTAGATGACAGAAGAAATGCTTAGCAGCCACTTTGTAGAAAAAGACATGGGGGGGGGGCTAACCTAAGAGGTTTAGAGTAACTCAGATGAAAAATTCATTTAAAATCAATTAGGTGCAAACTAAATCAATCAGGATTTTTAAAGTTGTATTTATTGTATGTGTGTACGCTCATGCACCATAGCACACACACACAGACAGGTCAGGATAACTTTGGTTCTTTTCTTTCGTATGGTCCTAGGGACTGAACTCAGCTTGAGATATTTGGTGGCAGTTGCTTTTACTTACAGAGCCATCTGACTGACCCCACTTTAAAAACAAAAACAAAACAAAAACGTACCATCTATTTTAAAACATTGTCAGTTTAGCTGGGGGTGCTTGCATGCCTTAATCCTAGCGATTGGGAGGTAAAAGATCTCTGAGTTTGAGGCCAGTCTCATCTACAAAGGGAGTTCTAGAATAGCTAGGGCTGCACAGAGAAACCCTGGCTCAGAAAAAACAAATGACTGAACCCACTACCACACAGGCGCTTCAGCTAAAGGTTTTTAAAAATTGGGATTTTGGCTTAAGAAATGAAACCAGTACAAAAGAAACACACATAAAGGCTCTTAGGTTTTGTTTCTTTTTACCTGTCAGAATCCCAGAGCCTGGCGGCTGTTAGGTGTGGTGTGCAGTGCAGTGGGGTAGAACCTGGTGTGACCTTTGGAACCGCCCTGTGAGCCCTTGCGACATGGCCAGTGCCATCTGCCCGATGATCATTTCATGGCTAAAAGTCTTCCTCGTGGCCGCTGTTGGTGTGTGGGGAAAGGTGCGTGCATGTGTGCGTGTGTGTGTGTGTGTGTGTGTGTGTGTGTGTGTGTGTGTGTATGAAGGCCGGGGGAGAGTGCCAGGTCCCCTGAGCTGGAGTTCCTGGCAGGTGTGAGCCACCCTGCATGCATGGGTGCTGGGTCCTGTGAACCTGCAGCCAAGCTCCTGACTGCTGAGTCATTCCTCCAGCCCCTAGCGATTCAAAGTCTCCTATCCAATGTCAGTATTTTCAAATGTACATACATTGCATTTATTTATTTATTTGTGTATGTTCAAGTACATATGCATGGCATGGCACGTGTGTGGAGGTCAGAGAGTCTGTTCTTCTGCTCTCTGGCTCCTGATCAAATACAGGTCAGTAGACTTTGTGGCAAGCACTCTTACCTGCCAAGTCATCTTGCAAATACCAAATTCAGTTTTGAGCAAAAGGTTTTGTTTTGTTTTTTAGTACTGAAGTGTCTGTGATGGCACGTGTTAAAATCTGGATATCACGTGGTACATGCGTAAAGGTCTCCCAGGGGTGTGGTGTCACAGAGGGCCAAGGGACCAGTGCCACACTGCCATGTGTCCCCTTTTAATTGGGAGAGGTGATAATGTTCATAGGAGTGGGGTAGAAAATATGATGTGATTTCATTTCACTGACACAAGAGTTCACAGCTTATGGCTGCTTTCTAGGAAAAAAGGCTTTAACAGAGGTAGTAGTTAGGGATAGTTTTAACAAACATTTAAAAAAAACAATCTACATGCTGGGTGGTGGTGGTGGGCCATGCCTGTAGTCCCATCCCATGGGAGTCAGAGGCAGGAGGATCTCTGTGACTGGCTCTATTGCTACTGAGAAACCCTGTCATGAAAAACCAGAAAAACAAAAACAAAAAAAAAAAACCCCAAACAACAACAAAAACCAAACCTCGCTGCTGCCTGGCTACAGCAGCACTTGATACTCTCATAGTCAGAGAAGGAGAGCCCTTGGTACAGTGCTCACTGCTCAGGCCTGTGAACCCACACTTGGATCCCTAGCACCCACCCAACTGTAATCCCAGCAGTGTGAGGCCGAGACAGGACAGTCCTGCGGCTCGAAGGCCAGCCAGTCTAGTCCACCGTGAATTCCAGGTTTAGTGAATGTGTCGGTCTCAAAAAATACAGTGGATGCTGGTACAGGAAGAGGTTTGACGTCTAACTCTGGCCTCCATAGACACACACACACATACATGTATGCACGTGAGGTGGTATTTTTTTCTGGCATTGGCATTTCCCTGATGATGAGTGTTCGCTGCGCTCTTATCTGCCTGGTGGTCATTGTCTTAGGAGAAATGGCTGCTCAAGGCTCTACCCCTGTTTGTGTTGGGTTGTTTGGGGTTTTTGTTGTTAGTTTTTAGTTGTACTTTAAAAAAAATAATTACTTAACTTTGCTTTATGTGCATTAGTGTGAAGGTGTCAGATCAGTTTGAGTCTCCCGCCATGTGGGTGCTGGGAATTGAACCCGGGTCGTTTGGAAGAGCAGCCAGCGCTCTTAGTGCCCAGGCCTTTGCATCTGTGTGGCCTGCAGCCTCCCTCCCTGTGTAGCTCGGTGGTGTCTGTGAGCCCCTCTGTGGAGTCTTTCTGCCAGGCTGCAGCCAGAGTCTCTGCACTCTGTGCATAGCTGCGCGTTTGCTCAGGTGACTGGAGGAGCTGCACTGCTGGTGGCAGGCCAGGAAACTGCCAGTGACCCTGCGGGATTGCCTCATAGCCGTCCAGGCAGTCACTGGCATTTTCCCAGGGGGGCGAGGGGCTGGGCCAAGGCGCTCTGACCTCATACTGCTCAGGTCGCTGCCTTCACGTCCTGCCCCTCAGGGGTGGGAGGCCATCTTGTTCCCACCCTCTGGAGTCAGATGGTTGCCCTAAGCTGAGACCACAGACCCTTCCTTTAGCTCCCATTTGACCAACACAGGCCCCGTGCAGTGCCTGGAAGCCTCTGGTCAGAATGACCAGAGTTAGTTGGCACTCTGTGGCCTGGGGTGAGTCTAGGGCTCCCTGTCTTTTGTTGTCCTATTTTGTTTTGTTGTTGTTTTGTTGTGTTGTAACAGGGCATCACTGTGTAGCGCTGGTTGTCATGGAGTTCATTGTGTAGACCAGGCTGGCCTCAAACTCTGGTCCGCCTGCCTCTGCCTCCTGAGTACTGGGATTAAAGTCCTGTGCCACCACACCCAGTTCAGATTTGTTTTTCTTGTTTTTGTGCCTGTGTGCATCTGTGTGGTATTCTTGGAGGCCGGGAGAGGACGCCAGATCCCTGAACTGGAGGAGTTACAGTTGAAAAGCGTCCTGATTTTGGTGCTGGGCTCTGAACTCCAGGCAACAAGCACCTTTAACCCTGCAGCTCCTCCAGCCCTGGGCCGCCTGGCTTCCCGGTGAAGCCTCCTCACTCTCCAGGCTGTGTGTTTAGCTGGTCTGTGGTTGCACTGTGCTTCATCCACTGAGCTGAGTAGTTGACAGCATACTCCCGTAGGGAAAAGGAGCTGACCCTAGATGTAGATAGAGCCACGAACCCTTAGCAGACCCAACACTATCTTTTTATAATTTACATTATTCATTTTACTATTATTTAAAATGGGGCCTTGTTCAGTTCCCAGCATCGGTCCCAAATTCCTGGGGTCAAGAAATCTTGAGTAGCTGGGGCTGTGGCCCATGCGGTACACCAGACCAGTTTTTGCGTTTGTTTGTTGAGTTTTATTTTACTGTTGATTATAAAGTGATGCATTCAGCTGCTTTATGCAGCATGGGATGCTTGGTGCCTGCTGGTCAGAAGCACATAAATACAAAAGCCACAGCAGAGCCCTGGGGACAGGTGTTTGCTGGCTGTGGGCTTGACCCAGTAGTGAGGCTCCCTCAACCTTGAGGATGAGTTCAGCTCATACTCAGCTGACTTACAGCGTTGCCCCTCATCAGTGATTGTCATTTGTAGCTTTCTGAAATGGTAAGATTCATTCGGCAGACGTGCTATGCTCCCTTGCTGACTCAGCAGTGTGTAAGGTCCAGAGAGCAGGAGGGGGCAGAGGGAGCTGTGGCGTCCCCTGATAGTGCTGCCATCTTTTCGTGCTGTGGTGTGCAGCATTTCTGGCTGGTTCTTCTGCCCTGACTTAATTGTTGCCTTCCTTTCTTATACCCAGCTTTGTCCTGCCAAGAAGTCACTGAGGATGAGGTCTTGGATGCAAGCTGCCTGCTGGATGTCTTGAGGATGTACAGGTGGCAGATTTCTTCCTTTGAAGAACAGGTAAGCACTCCAGACGCAGGCTGAGCTTGGAGAGTCCTTTTCCCTAGGGACTGTGTGTGTGTGAGTGTTAGTGTGTGGGTGTGTTCTGTGACACTCTGGGCAGCCTCAGTGTTGTGTGAGCAGAGCTCCAGTCTTCCACACGGGCTGGATGGGGGGCTGGAAACATGGGAAAGGGGTGAGTGCTCCTATCCCTTGCTCTTACAGATTGTCTCGTATTCCTCCCGCCCTGAAGGCGTGTGCCGTGTCTGTGTGCCGTGTCTGTGTGCCGTGTCTGTGTGCCGTGTCTGTGTGCCGTGTCTGTGTGCCGTGTCTGTGTGCCGTGTCTGTGAAGGGCTTCTCTTGCTGTGGGCTGGTGCGTGTCTCCATCTGCATTTGCAAGTGACCTGAGGACTGACTCAGCTGCCCCTCCCTCCACAGTCAGTCCCCAAGGACATTGTTACTTTGTGTAAGTCCCACCCTTCTGTCAAGGATCTGCTTAAGCCATGTCACCCTTGGGGCTGTTTCCCCAAAGTTAGTGCACAGCAGGGGGCCGCCCCCGGGAAGAGGGAGTGTGTGTGTGTGTGTGTGTGTGTGTGTGTGTGTGTGTGTGTCTAGGTTCGGGCTGCTGCCCTTGGAAGCACACAGAGCATCTGTCCGCTGTTGGTCTTCCCCATACCTGCACCTTCTTGCCATGGAGTTGGTCCAGACCCTCTCACACTGATGGGCAGCCCACTTTGTGTCTACACCAGCGGCTCCAGGAGCCGCACTGCGTTCAGTCCTTCATGCGTGTTACCTAGCTGTGTCCCTGTGCCAGCCCGTGAGGAGTCAGGGTGCAGGTGGCAACACAGCTCAGAGGGGCAAGGTGGCTTGCCCAGGCCCCTGCTGTGTCTGCGCAGAGCCAGGGTTGAACCCGTCTGGTCCTGAAGTGCACTCTCGTCCTCCACCCTCTTCCGCGATTCTGTATCTTTCCTTACAGCCAGAGTAGCTTGCAGAGTGGCTGACACAGGCTGCGTGAGCCTACAGAAAGAGCCAGCTTTCGGCTGGTTCTCCTTCCGACAGGGTTGAGCTGTGCTTGTGCTGTTGGGTAATGGTGGCCTTGCACGCCCGCCAGGTGCCTGTGGGAGCAATGGGGCTTTGAGTCTTTGTGCGCCAGTGACCCTGAGTTCCAGGTCAGCCTGTGCTACGAGATGCTGTCTCCATGTGAAAAGTACAGAGAGGACTGGGGTGCAGCCCGGCCGCACGCCGACTCACGTGCCCAAGGTCCCTTGGCAGCGCTGCAGGTTACACAAACCTCAGATTTAAAATTACGGAATGATGCCCTGGTTTGCTGTGACTTCTGCTTGGAGGGTGTCCCAGTCTGGGTTGCTGTTGCTGTGTAGAAAAACCAGGGCCAAAAACAAGTTGGAGAGGAAAGGGTTACTTCAGCTCACACTTTCATACCACAGTCCATCACTGAGGGAGTCAGGACAGGAACTCAAGCAGGGCAGGAACCTGGAGGCAGGAGCTGGTGCAGAGGCAATGGAGGGCGCTGCTCACTGGCTTGCTCCTCATGGCTTGCTCAGCCTGCTTTCTGATAGAACTCAGGACCAGCGGCCCAGGGATGGCCGGCCCCACCCACCATGGGCGGGGCCCTATTAAATCACTAATTAAGAAAACGTCCTATAGGCTTGCCCACAGCCTGATCTCACGGAGACATTTCCCCAGTTGAAGCTCCCTCCTCTCTGATGACTCTAGCTTGTGTCTCAGTGACATAAATCAGCCACCATAGCAGGGAGGAATTGTCAGGGCTTGATTGGCAGGAAAGGAAAGGTTGGACATGCACATGACCCTGGCTTCCATCACCAGCCCTGCAAAGCCAAAAATAAATTAACACTGAAAGATCTGATTACGGTTGCCTGAAGCTGAGCTCAAGTATGGGATCTGCTGTTACCGGTTTCAAGCAGTCGCCCTGGCTCCTGTGTGCCCTGAGATTCGGGGTGGGATCCACAGGCCGGGGGCAGAGCGAGGAGGAGCCATGGAGCCACTGAGGACTCTGCAGCTTGGGGAGGGTTAGGGTTAAGAGTTAGGGGTTAGGGTCTTTAAGATTGCTTCTTAGAGCATTTCCTGCTGTAGGACCCAGTAGCGCCACCTCTGGGCATGTCCTGAAAGTACAAGCAGAGACTCACATGGGTGTTACATTTACACACTTAGCAGAATCCCTCACAGAAGCCAACAGGCCGAGCACTGCAGGTGCCCTCAGTGGGCAGAGATGAAGACAAAACCCTCCCCCTTCCCGTGGTCACTGAGCTTTGTCTGCCCTTCCAATAAGCTGCATCATCAGTCCAAACGACAATATCATTTCTATTTCCTGTGTGTGGGTGTTTTGTCTGATGTGTTCCAAGTATGTGCCTTGTGTCCAAGGGGACCAGAAGATGACCTCAGATCCTCTGTACTGTTGTTACAAATGGTTGTAAGCCACCACGTGGGTGCTGGGAACCAAACCCAGGTCCTCTGCAAGAATAAGCAGGCTCTTATCCACTGAGCCACCTTTCCAGCCCCCAAACAAACTTTTATACCGTGCAGTCCAGCCAGCCCTTATGGGTGGGGGATGCTGCTGCATGGCGCAGCGTGGGTAAACAGACAGTGTGCTCAGTGAAATGCACGGTGGGCTGTGGACGTGTGACTCTGGCTCCACTCGTATGAGGTGGCTGCCAGATGACTAGGGACAGAAGGTAGGGTGGGTGTCAGGGTTAGGCAGCAGTTAGCTCTAGTGGGGTTCGTCGTCTGGCTGCAGATGGACAGTAGGGTTAGTTCTAGTGGGTTCATCGTCTGGCTGCAGATGGACAGCAGGGTTAGCTCTAGTGGGTTCGTCGTCTGGCTGCAGATGGGCAGCCATCTGAATGTGCTCCATGCTGCTGCTGTTCACCTGGCAAGGTTGAGCTGTTGAATTTTGTGCTACGTACACCCTGCCTTGGATTTTAAAGTAAGTCCCCTCCACCCCCGGAGTTGGGTGCAGGTCTCTTCCAGTGAGTGGGACCCTGGCCTTGCCTCGGGCCCCTTTCAAGGATGCTTTATCCTTTGACAGGATGCTCACGAGCTATTCCACGTCATCACCTCGTCCCTGGAGGATGAGCGAGACCGCCAGCCTCGAGTTACTCATCTGTTTGACGTCCACTCCCTGGAGGTAATGTCGTCAGTGTCAGACCCAGTAACCAGGGGGGTGAGGCTGGCAAGCCTTAAACTGCACACTTGGGTGTGTGCTGGGGGTGGCCTGCCCTTCGTGAGGACTCACACTGTAGCTTGGGTTATGCTGGAGGAGAGAATGGCAGTCTTTCCGTTAGTGGGGAGGGGTAAGGCCGTGGGTTCCCTGAGTCAGTGCTCATCTGCCTGTAACAGTGTCAAGAGTTGACCGTGTTTTTCCGGCCACCATAAAGGAACTCATACAGAAACCAACCAGAAGGTGGGTTGGTGCCACCTTCAGAAAGGGGCTGTGGACCGCGTTGGTTTTGATGTTTCGGGTGGCTTGGAAGCTTGTGCGATGCCTGGGAGGTGAGGGCGGTTTGTAGGGCTGCAGTTGGATTTCTGTCTCTCTCTTCTCCCTACAGCAGCAGTCAGAAGTGGCTCCCAGACAAGTCACCTGCCACACGAGAGGTAACCATTTCACTGATTAGATATGCGTTTCTAGAGAAGCGAATGAGAGTGAACTGTGTCTCTCCTGCTGGCTGTGTGCAGCTGGGGCCTGCTGGGCCTCCACACGTCTGCTGAGGACCCGCACAGTTCCAGAAACAGCTTTGAGCTGGGAAAAACTCAGTAAACGGACTCTGTCCTTCAGCATCTTCACTTCGGCCAGCTTTCACTGCTGAGTATCACAGCTCTCTTGAGAAATCTTGATTCTTCAGAGTAGAAACCAGCACAGCCTCTGGGTCACTCAGGCCTGGGGTCAGTCCCAGGCAGCGCCAGGCAGTGAAGCTTCTCATCCAATCCCCACAGCAGACACAGAGGACAATCCACCACATAAATTCACAGAAGCCAAGTGTGGGCTCCTGTCTGTAACCCCCACACTTGCGAGGCTGAGGCAGGAGGATTTACTGTGTTTTTAAGGCCAGCCTGGGCTATAGCATAAGACCATATTTCTGTATCTCAAAAAAGAGGTTGAGATAAAATAATTTCCCAGGTCACATGACTAGTAAGCAGACTCAAGACCTCACCCTCAGCGGTCTGGCTCCAGAGAGAATTTCTCAGTAGTAGAGAGTAGTAGTAGAGTAGAATCATGCCCAATTCTCTAAAATAAACCTGTTTATTCAGGTTGTTTCTGGGCTTCTCTTGCCTTTATCTCCTCCTGCCCTGTCTGTCACAGCATCCTTCCCTCCCCCCCCCCCGTCTGTCACAGCATCCTTCCCTCCCCCCCCCGTCTGTCACAGCATCCTTCCCTCCCCCCCCCCGTCTGTCACAGCATCCTTCCCTCCCCCCGTCTGTCACAGCATCCTTCCCTCCCCCCCGTCTGTCACAGCATCCTTCCCTCCCCCCGTCTGTCACAGCATCCTTCCCTCCCCCCCGTCTGTCACAGCATCCTTCCCTCCCCCCCCCGTCTGTATCACAGCATCCTTCCCTCCCCCCCGTCTGTCACAGCATCCTTCCCCCCCCCCCGTCTGTCACAGCATCCTTCCCTCCCCCCGTCTGTCACAGCATCCTTCCTTCCCCCTGCCCCCCCCCCGTCTGTATCACAGCATCCTTCCCTCCCCCCCGTCTGTCACAGCATCCTTCCCTCCCCCTGCTCCAACAGTATGTGTGCATGTATAGATCTCAAGTAGCATCCTTCTCCGTGTCTGCTCCATGGTACCCAGCCTCTTCTGTGAGCATGGAGCTGGGAGTCAGCAAGGAAGAGTTGCTGTGGGAGGCGTGTCTGCTGTGATCTAAGGAGGGTGGAGTTTGATTGGGTGACTGACATGTCAAAGGCGCTTTGCTTCCAGGGTCTCCTCACCCCACGTCCGGTCACTGGAAGTCTCAACATCCTTTCCATGGCAGACTCACTAGTAATATGGTGTGCAAGCACTGTGAACACCAGGTGAGTGGCTGTTCCTCCATGACACCCTCGGGTAACGTCAGGGTGTGGGAGACGGCCCAGAGAGTGCAGGCTAGCCCCGGGGCAGCCTCAGCAATGGCCACACTCTGTACACCTGTGGGCCAGTGTCATCTGACCCTCGGATGGCATTGCCACATAACAGCAGATGTAGCGTGCCGTCGATTGTAGGGTTTCAGGTCCGCCCACTCAGGGTGCACACGGCGGATTTGAGGAGTGGGTTCTGTCTTCCAGCATCTGCGTCCTGAACAGCGCTGCTTTTCTCTAGCACTGTGCCAAGCAGGTGGGCAGACCTCACCCAGGAGCCCATTTCTGCCCACCACATGCTGCCCAAATGGTCCTGCTTGAAGTCTTTCTGACGGGATGCCCTTTCCCGTCACCTCACACAGGGATGCCTCACACCGCAGCATGGCCATCCGTGCAGAAGCGCGCGTATTCCTCTGCGCTCTGTGGCCCTCTGCAGTTGTCTGATGACCCCTTAGGCCTCAATTATGCCTGTGTGTGGCACTGTCGGTAGCTTTGATGGAAACCCTGGGACTTGGTACCAGTTCCTCAGGATGGAGACATGTCTGTTCCCCAAGCTGCTGAGTCGGGTGCATACTCCATGTTCATGCTGCTGTTTAATGCTGTGCGTTTAATATCTGAATTCTAAACCACACTCAATCTGTTGATCTAAGCCCTGTTTGGATTTTCTGCAATATTTGTTTCAGAGTCCTGTTCGATTCGATACCTTTGACAGCCTTTCCCTCAGTATCCCAGCTGCCACTTGGGTATGTACACATCTGTGGCTTATTTGGACCTATCGCATAAGGGCTTTGAGGCATTTACTGTGGCCCAGATACTGTGTCATTCAGACATGTGAGTGGCCAAGCCGCTTAGCTGTGAGGTGAGGGCCTGATTGTGGAGGAGGGGAGGTGACATGCTCTCACTGAAGACATCAGCATTTTGAACATTTGTGCTGTGCAGAGCTCTCAAGCTCTAAGATTGTATCTCTGTGTGCAGGTGCACAGTGCCCAAAGGTCTGCCCCTCTCCTGAGCCTGTGCAGGCGCACACACAGTCCCTGCTACCTCCCCTTCCCCCCCAGGCCTGTGCGGGCGCACACTCAGTCCCCAGGGCTCTTCCCCTCCTGAGCCTGTCAGCAGGAGCAGCGTAGGGTTGAATGGCCCTGAGGTGTGTCTGGGGAACTTTGTGCCTGTGTACCCCTGCCACATGCTAATGGCTTCAGCGTGGCTCTCCTGTGCGCGCTTCTAACTGCCCACTCCTGCTCTAGGGGCACCCACTGACCCTGGACCACTGCCTTCATCATTTCATCTCATCCGAGTCGGTGCGAGACGTTGTGTGTGACAACTGTACAAAGGTACGCATTCCGGTGTCGCCTCCCAGCTGACACCAGGTGCTTCTGTAGCACCTCCCCCGCGCATCCCCGGGCTTCCAGCTGCATGTGCCCAGGGCATCTCTCAGACACGCCTTTCCTTCCCCTGCCTTGGTTTGCAGAGTGGCTGCCTATAATTTTGTTTCCCGGATGAGTTGTTTCTTCACAGTGTTTACAGAGGAAATCTTAAGTTTTGCGCACAGAGCTGAGCCACACCTACTCCGGTTTGTAGCCCCTCCATTCCTGCTTTCTGTGTGCACCTTTTCCTTATGCCAGCATTGCTTCCCCACCCAGAGGAAATGCGTAGACTGTGGGGGGCTTAAGGGGTAAGTTCACAGAGCAGCCGCATTACACACACAGGCGCACACACACACACATGCACGCATACACACGCGCGCGCGCGCGCACACACGCACACACACACGCACGCACACTCATGCACACCATGGAGATAATGATTCCCCGGAAGCCGTACCCTGGAACTCCCTGTTCAGCCTGTAGGCAGCTTCACTGAGGTCCCCTCCTTCCCAGCAATTGCTCCACTGATGTAATCTCCTAGGGTGAGTCTTGGAAGTTGCAGTGACCTTCCTGAGCCTTGCATGTCCCTGTGGATTTCCAGGACCTCCTGAGCTTCCCTGCACACTGGAGAAGAGAAAGCTTTAGTTTGGGGGAAATGGGACCTCGGGGAGTTCTGGGCAGCAGCCTGTAGGAAAACACTCTGCTCTCGGGCGCCCCCTGGTGTCCAGTAGAGCGCTGACTGCTGCTCCTCGGGCCTGGGCACTGCCTTGGGCTGGCCACAGGTGCTGGAATCCCCTTCCTGCCTAGTCCCACTGTCAGCAGAAACTGCTTGGTGATTCTGAGGCTCGCAGGCAGGGAAGTGCAGGGCATCCAACATTGTAGACAGAGTTCTTTCCCGCCTGGGCCTGCCGCCCTTCAATCCCAAATAAACACAGAGAGACTTATATTAATTAGAAACTGTTTGGCTGATGGCTCAGGCGTCTTACTGGCCAACTCTCCTAATTATTAACCCATTTATATTAGTCGAAGTATTTGCACATGGTCTTATCTTACCAGAGAATGCCATGTGTGACCTATCTTCCCGTTAGCTACATGGCGTCCTTCTGGCGGCCTCTCTCCTGGTCTGGTCGCTCCGCCTGTACTTCCTGCCTGGCTGCTGGCCAATCCGTGTTTAATTCTTAACCAATAAGGGAAACACACATTAACATCATACATAAGGACATCCCTCATCACAGCATTGTCCCCAAAAGCCACGCCAGAGACTCCTGAGCCAAGTGTACAGGGTTGGGCACCACCCAGGCGTCCTGTGTGTCCTGCTGTAACTGGGGTGGAGAGGGTGAGGGACGGAGGGTCCTGGGGACCCACAGAGGATTGGTTTAAAGTTACTTACTTTATGCATGTGAGTGCTTTGCTGCATGAATGTCTGTACACCATGTGTGGGGCGTCCACACAGGTCAGAAGAGAGAGTGGGATGCCCTGGAACTGGAGTTACAGATGGCTGTGATCCGTCATGGTGCTGGGAACCAAACCTGGGTGGCCTGGACGAGCAGCCTGTGCTCTAAGCTGCTGAGTCAGACCCCGCAGCCCGCTGTCGAGGGCTTTGAAGAGAAGATTTAAGAAGTTCTCCATTTGTCTTCCTCCATGGCGCCTGTGATTTAATGACTAAGGAATCTGAGGTCGGCCTGCAGCTTTGGCTGGTCTGCTCCTGGGGCCCTGCAGACTTATGCTGTTGCTCTATTGCAGATTGAAGCCAAAGGGACGTTGACTGGGGAGAAGGTGGAGCATCAGAGGACCACTTTCGTTAAGCAGCTGAAGCTGGGGAAGGTGAGCCCACCTACGCATGTGGTGGCCATGCCGTGGGGCTCTGCCGTGGGGCTCTGCCGTGGGCTCTGCCATGGGCTCTGCCGTGGGGCTCTGCCGTGGGGCTCTGCCGGCTCCTGAAACCTTAGCACTGCACTCTCCTCTCTGCCCACAGCTGCCCCAATGCCTTTGTATCCATCTCCAGCGGCTCAGCTGGTCCAGCCACGGCACGCCCTTGAAGCGCCATGAGCACGTGCAGTTTAACGAGTTCCTGATGATGGACGTCTATAAGTACCGCCTCCTGGGACACAAACCCAGTCAGCATGGCTCCAAAGGCCGTGAGAACCTGGGGTCTGCCCTAGAACTGCAGGACACACAAGCCTCGGCGAAGCCAGGTGTGTGCTGTGGGACACTCTGCACAGAGACGGGTTCTCTGTCCCCGTTTTTGGCTCTTGTGACATGCATACTGGCTAGTCTCATAATAGCAGGATTGGGGGTGGAAGGGAAATGACTTGTGTCTCTTCTTTGCACTGGGTGGCAAAGCACTCTCCCTGAGCTGTGACCCAGCCAGCATTTCCTAAAGAGCTAAAATTATAGTTATGAGTCAGTGGTCTTAAAACTCTCAGGGCCAGCAAGTTGGCGTTTAGTAAAAGCAACCTCAGTTAAGTCCTTGGAACTGACGTAAAGGTGGAAGAGAACATGCTCCACAATGTTGTTCTCTGACCTCCACACACTTCGACCTGTAGCATGTATCTATGTAATGATAATAACACAGTTCAAACATGTGAAACCATGAACAGGACATGTAACAGCCAGGACTGTTACATAGAGAGACCCTGTCTTTCCTTTCCTTGGTGGGTTTCTTTGAAGCCTGCCTGGAACTCCCTCTGTAGACCAGGCTGTCCTTGAACTCACAGAGATCCACCTGCCTCTACCCCCCAGTTCTGGGATTAAAGGTGTGCACCACCAACGCATGGTAAGAAACCCTGTCTTAAAAAGAGAGAGAGGGAGAGAGAGAGAGAGAAGAAAAAAGGGGTGGGGGGAATAAACCACAAGCTGTCGCCGCCGCAGATGGACAGGTGGCCGTGTGGGGCTGCCATCTTCTTCTGGCCTCTGGCTGAGTCTGTGAACCCACTTTACTTCTGGAAACCCGCCTACCCCTTTGCCTCACTTCTTGATGCCTCCCTCCTGTTAGGCAGCTTTGCGTCTGCTGGGCAGAGTTTCAGGTTCCACAATGAAACGCTTGCTCTGAGGAGAGGCTGTAGTGGGGAATGGCCGAGAATGTCCTGGGCGTCTCCTGAGGGCGCCTTTTGTGACCTACAAGGAGGCCGTGGCCTGCAGGAGACAGGCTGGCTTTCTACACTCCCATACTTTACTGGTTTACAGACCTTGTGTGCATGCGTGTGTCTGTCTGTCTGTATGTCCGTACTGCCTGCCTGCCATCTCTCATTGCCCTGGAACTTGTCGCATAGGCTTGACTGGCTGGCAAGTGAGCCAAGTCTCTACACATCTCTCTCTCAACTCTAACATTGCCAGGGCCTGGGCCTCCATGAGAGGCTTTTTTTTTTTTTTTTTTTTTTTTTTTGACAGGAGCAGGATGTAGACGAGATCTGGCTCCCTGTCTTCCAAGTGCTGGGATTAAAGGTGTGTGCTGGGGCTAGAGCAGTGGTTCTCAACCTTGCTGATGCTGCAGCCCTTTAGTATAGTCAGGTCATAGTGACCCCAACCATAAAATTATTTTCATTATCATAGTTCCACAAACTTTTTTTGCTACTGTTATGATACCTGATGTACAGGACATCTGATATTTGACCCCTGTGGAAGGGTTATTTGACCCCCACAAAAGGGTCCCAACCCACAGGTTGAGAACCACTAGAATAGAGACATGGCCCAGTGGTTCAGAGCACTGCCTGCTCCTCCAGAGGACCGGGTTTGGTCCCAGCTCCCACACGGCAGCTCACAACTGTCTGTAACTCCAGCTCCAGGGATCTAGTATTTTCCTCTGACCTCCGGGACACCAGGCACTCAGGTGTCACACATATACACATGCAGGCAAAACACAACACACACATGAAGTGAAGCCTAAGAATTAGGGGGAATGTGTGACACCACATCCAGCTTCTGGCTTTTTTAGAAATTGTTGATTCAGAGGCTCAAACTCAATTGCACATGTTTCTAACAAATGCTGTACTGATCAAAGCTGTTTCCCAGCCCTCCTCCCCCTCCCCCTCCCCCTCCCCCCCTCCCTCTCTCCCTCCCTTTCCCCTCCCCTCCCTCTCCCCTCCCCTCCCTCCCTCCCTCCCCTCCCTCCCTCCCTCCCTCCCCTCCCTCCCTCCCTCCCTCCCTCTCCTTCCCTCTCCCCTCTCCTCCCTCCCTCCCTCCCTCCCTCTCCCCTCTCCCTCCCTCCCTCCCTCCCTCTCCTTCCCTCTCCCCTCTCCCTCCCTCCCTCCCTCCCTCCCTCTCCCCTCTCCCTCCCTCCCTCCCTCCCTCCCTCTCCCTCCCCCCCTCCCTCCCTCCCTCTCCCCTCTCCCTCCCTCCCTCCCTCCCTCCCTCTCCTCCCCCCTCCCCTCCTTCCCTCCCTCCCCCCCTCCCTCCCTCCCTCCCTCCCTCCCTCCCTCCCTCCGCTCTTGCTACAGTTGCATGGCCTGGCAGAGATGTCACTTCAGGGAGAATGTGGTCTGCCCTCTGACGGGTGTGATGGTTTGAAAGGAAATGGCCCCTAAGCCTGTGGCCTCCTTGCAGCGGGTGTGGTGTTGGAGGAGGTGTGTCACTGTGGGGGAGGGCTTCGAGCTTCCCTCAGTGTGACACTCAGTCGACTTCCTGCTGCCTTCTGCTCAAGAAGTAGCCAGCACCACGTCTGCCTGCAGGCCACCGTGCTCGCCGCCATGACGGTGATGGACTGAGCCTCTGAATTGCAGGCTACCACCTCAGGGAAATGCTTTCTTTATAAGAGCTGCGGTGGTCATGGCGTCTCTTCCCAGCCATGAGAACCTACGCTTGAGACACTGCATGAACTTGGAGAAGAGCTCAGACAGGGAGAGCCTCAGTCCCGGCCTGTTTCACACTGGGCACTCTCCTGTTCCCTCCCAGGCTGCGGGGCAGTCCCTACTGGCCAGAGCATGGTGGCCATGGCGCAGAAGGCAGCAATGAGTTTCTTCGTGTGTGCAGCTCCTCCACATATGCCCCTGAAGGAAGGACATGTGTGCACACTCACAGACACGTCATAAGCTGACAGCCAATGAGAAGGCCTGGAGTTCCCTGACGCAGTGAGGGACATTTCTGGGGGTTACTGCTCAGGAGAGCGGAGGCCGGAGCACCCCACCTCACTGGGTTTTGTTGTTATTTGGTTAAGTTTTTTCAAAACAGGGTTTTTTGACAGCCTTGGCTGCCCTAGAACTCCCTCTGTACACCAGGCTTCCCTCAGAGATCCTCCTGCTCTGCCGCTCAGGCGCTGGTACTAGTGTTGTGCACCACCGTGCCCAGCTTCACCCCACTCTCACAGTGCATGGTGAGAGCCTTGGGTTCCATCAGAGGCCAGGGCACCCACCTGTCACATGCCATTGGCAGGTGCGAGGGTCCCTGAGCAGGGCAGCCGCTGCTACAGAGACTCGGAACAAAGGTAGGAGAATTCACACAGCAGTCCAGTTCGAGTCGTGCTGTGGGAGCGCACCTCCAGGGTGAGAGGGTGCAGGCGTGGGCCGGCCATTGTGCTGCTTGCCCGTGCCTGGCACCCGGAGGCCAAGGTGCCATTTCAGAGCCGGCTCCGGCTGCACTGCATGAACTCGCTACAACCAAGCAGAAACCACAACCGACTGTTCGCACAGATCAGCTGCCCATTTCTGTGACTCACGTCTTTTCCCTTACAGGTGTAAGCCAGCCAGGGGCCCCCAAGACACAGATATTTGTGAATGGCACCTGCTCCTCGTCTCTGTCGCCAGCCCTGCCTTCCCCGATGGCCTTCTCTCTGCCGGTGGCTCCTGACTACAGGTGAGGAGGGTGGCGAGGGGCCCACTACACACTCACCATGGCTCTGTAGTTCTCAGGGTCCCCGACGGGCTGTTCACAAAAGAATGAAAGTCGGAGTAGTTTTCTCTTTCATTTTAAAGCACAATAACATCGTTACTCCATTACTGCCCAACGTGGGAGTATTTTAAAGTAAAGATTAGGAGGCGTGTGTGTGCCCATGTGTAGAATGTGGAGAGAGCTTCCTGGGATTCCAGCTAGGCAGCCAGTGCAGACTTCAGTTAACCCTGCTGGGAGCATGTTGGGAGCATGTGTCCTCTGTACTTAGCGTGTGCATGTGCGCGGTGCACTCACCTCCTGCAGTGGAACACGTAAGCTCTCTGTTTGGCTTTGCCCACACCTGGTTCCGTCATAAACCATGGGCATTTCCCCATCCGCCAGCTCCTCCACATACCTGTTCCGCTTGATGGCAGTTGTCGTCCACCATGGAGACATGCACTCCGGACACTTTGTCACTTATAGAAGGTCACCACCTTCAGCCAAGAGCCCTCTCTCAACCAGCAACCAGTGGCTGTGGATTTCCGATGACACCGTGCGCAAGGCCAGCCTGCAGGAGGTCCTGTCTTCTAGCGCTTACCTGCTGTTCTATGAGCGAGTTCTGTCCAGGGCACAGCAGCAGGGACATGAGTACAGGGCTGAGGAGTGACAGGCCAGCTCAGAGCCAGGGCCCATGGTGAGGTCCACAGTCCGGGACTAAAGAAGGCATGCCATGTGCAGCCCCTCTAGTGCCCCTCAGCCCCCTGTGTATTCTGAGAGCGGGCTCCACATGGGAGCCTGTCCTACGCAACGCTGCCAGGGTGTACCGGAAGGTGTCCTCATGTGAGGGCAGCATCCATTGTGACACAGGTCATTAAAAAGAGGCAGACTCCAGGAGCCACCCTTTCTATACTGTAATATGCTAGGTGTTCTCAGAGGCCACTGCCTTTGCCTGGTCTTCTGACATTTTAGCATAGATCTTTATTTTTTAATAAGGAGGCCCATAAATATTATTGACGAGAATTAGTGGAATTATTAAAGGCAACAATTCAGAAGAAAAGTGCCTTTTCCTTCCAGTTGTTCTGAGAACAGGCCTGACCTAAGAGTCACAGGCAGGATGTTGGGAAAGCCCTCATCCTTCCCGGTTCCTTGGAGGCCAAAAGGACGTTTCAGAATGCCTAAACAGCATGGTGGCCCATGCCTTGAATCCTAGCACCCAGAGGCTGAGGCAGGAGGATCACTGCAAGTTCTGGGCCAGCCTGGACTATGTAATAAAACTGTCTCCTCCCACAAAGCCTCGAGAAAACCTCCTACCTTTGGGTATGCCTTTTGGGGTCTTCAGTTCTTTATGTGTAGTCAGGGTCACTTGCTAGTCCCTCCCCGGACCAGAGGTGGCCCAAGCCTCTTCCAGAACTGTGATGTCTACGCTGTCTGCTGGTCTCCCCTCCTAAGATGGCTCGCTTCCTGTTCTTAGTTGCCCATAATAGGGTCTACAGGCAAGAGCCTGGGCAGGGTGACCTGAGAGCTGGCCTGGCCCAGGGCTACAGTCTCTGAACCTTGCTTTCTTAGAGGCCAGTGAGGAGGAAAGCAGCTGGACGTCTGAACAGAAGAGTGTGGCAGCATCTTGTTCCACCAGTGGACTTGGGGTGGTGGCCACACCTTAGGGTGTGGCTTCATGTTGCCATTACACTCTAGGACCGTATTCTAAGTGTGTGTCTCCAGTGACCTCAAGCAAAGAGTACACTGGGCATTTTCTTCCCTTCTCAGATGCATTTTGCAAAGACCAGGGATGGAGAATCTCAATGGCACAATAGTACCTATGTGTTAGCTAAGTTTGTAATTAAAAAAAAAAAAATGATACCAAACCAAAAATTGACTGACTCTTCTGATGTAAGATTTGGAACCAGACCTATCCAAAGGTCGCTGAGGTAAGGCCAAGGACGTGTTTTCTCTGCAGGGGTAAGCTGGCAGACATTCCAGATGTACCTAGGCATCTGCTTTGAGGTCAGGCCTCACTGAGCATCCCGAGGACTCGCGACTCCGAGACTGCTGTGCTGGCTCTCCCAGCCGCAGCCCCCACAACAGGAGTGGCCGAGCCACTTGCTGCATCCCCGGCAGCCCTGGCTTGTGGGTTGAGGTGAATGCACGAATGCTCCCCTGCCTTGTGGCTTGTGCTCTTAGAGCAGATAGCAGGGCTGCAGGCCCCAGCGCTTGTTCTGAGGTCGGCTAGAGAAGAGACCAGAGGACAAGTGTGGGCGTTGCTCAGAGCCCAGGGTGTGAGGCAAGGCTGTGAATGTGTTAACCTGACCAAGTGCTAATGTCCTCCCTCGTTTTGTAAGTTATCAGACGTTAGGTAGTAACCAATGATGATTCTAGTTTTAAGTTATTTACAGTAGGTAGCTTCTCCCTGAAAAACCTAAGTTAAGCTAGTACTTACGCTGTAGGCTGCTGAGTGTGGAGCTGCTAAAGGCACTTTGTATCTGCTGTAGCAATAAAGACGGTTTGTTAGGAAACTCGAGTGGTGGGTTTTAGTCTCTTTAAACAGGGTTTGTGTACAGGAGGCTACTTGTAAACTTGTGAACATCTCTGCCTCCTGAGTGCTGCTGTTAAAGGTACCCCACCACGCCATGCCTGAGTGATAGTCTTATGTTGGTGTTACACAGCATCCTCTTCCGAACTGGGCCCTAGGCATTTTTTAAACCACCGGTGCTCTCTGTGGATAAAGAGGGTAAGCCCCTCTCCAAGCAAAAAGAGAAAACACACTGTACTGGTTATCAGAAATAGGTTTTAGGGGCTGGACAGATGTCTTGGCAGGTAGGAGCATTTGCTGTCCTTGCAGGACCTGAGTTTGGTTCCCAGCAGCTCTCAACCACCTGTGACTCCAACGTGAAATGATCTTACGCCCTCTGCTGGCCTCCCTGAGCACCTGCACATATGTGGCACGCACACATACAGATAAAAATAATAAATAAAAGGCGCTTTATTTCTCGGTAGGTAAAATTTTCCGAAAAGTCAAGTTGACCCGAGGAGCCAGGACCTTCTTGCGGATAGGGAGACTGTGGTACCAATGGGTGTTGGTGGGGTGGTTCATCATCAGTAGGCTTCCGTGGGCCAGCTGCAGCCTGACCGCCTCCATTGTCCGCTGGGGCCTCTTCCCTCGAGAGTCTTTGTGCCGGAAGAGGAAGTCTCTGCAGGCCCCAAAGGAGACAGATGCGATGGGACTCCCGGGGGCCAGTTCTCTTTCGTCGTCTCTGTGTTCCCCGATGTGGTCGCAACCATCTTTGTACCTGTAGTGGGAAGCGATCACATCGCCGAAGCCCTCCCCTCCCCATCCCCTGCTGATGCGAAGGTCCCTTACCCTCTTGTAGCCTGCAGCAGTGTGCTGCACATCCCTAGCCCAGGACGCCAGGGAGCCCCGCTGAATGTCTTGGCCAAGCGCGCTGGTGTAAATGAGGAAGGGCCCCATAGGCTCATATGTTTGCATGTTTGGTCCCCAGTTGGTGGGACTCTGGGGCCAATCAGGAGGTGTGGCCTTGTTGGAGTAGGTGTGCCATTGTGGTTGGGCTTTGAAGTTTCAAAAGCTCATACCAAGCCTAGCGTCTGTCTGTCTGTCTGTCTGTCTGCTGCCTGCAGATCAGAATGTAATGCTTCAGCTACTGCGCCAGTGCCTTGCCTGCCTGCCTCCCACCGTGTGACCATGAACCTACTGTAAGCCGCAGGTAAACGCTTTCTTTTTCTAAGAGTTGCTTTGGTCATGGTGTCTCTTCACAGCAGCAGAACAGTGACAGGACACTTAGTTACTTCTTGTAATGCTCAGACCTCACACATGAAATCAAATAGCTGTGCCTTCCAGTCACCAGGCTCAGGAAAGGAAAACCTGCCTTATTTCTCCTGCATACACAGCAGCCATGAGCCTGAGCAGCCCGGCCCTACCCTTTATACTCTGCTTTCCCCAATTCCTCATCTCCAGCAGCAAAGGCAATCCCCCTCCATGGACACCAGGTGCTTCCTCTGCTCGACCCCACCAGCCGATGGTGTCTCCAGCTCTAGCTAGTTCCTGGCAAATGTCACTGCCTTGAGGAACCTCCCTCTAACTGTCCCTTTACCCAGGCCTCAGAGCCGGGCTGCTCTGTCCTCAGAACACACTGTTGGATGCTGTAATGAAAGCAGGGTGCTACTGGCACCTGAGGTGGAGGCTAGGGGTGCGCTGAGTGTCCCAGTGCACAGAAAAGTACTTTCTGACCCCAAATGCTAGCAGTAGTGTACTCATTCTGAGTCCCTGTGCCAAGCCCAGCCCCGTCCTCAGTCCAATCAATCTGTTTAACTTTCCTAGGAACCTCACCCAACCCCTCTCTTCCTCCTCACAATTCTCTGTGTGTGTGGGTTCATGCCCAGAAAGAAGTTCAGGTATTCATGGAGGCTAGAGGTGTGAGATCCCCTGGAGCTGGGGCTGGAGTTACTGGTGCTGCTGGGAACTGACTTTGGGTTCTGTGCAAGGGTCCCTGAACGTCCTTGGGCCTCACCCAGGACAGAAGGGTTGTCACAAGCCCTGAACTCATCCCTGTGGAGGAAGTGTTACCTGTTAATGAGCACAAAGTTGAAGCTCTGCCCCGTCACCCTGCACACTCGATCGCGAACACGCTCCAGAACCGGGATCCAGGGCTTTGGTGTCAGTGTAAGACCAGAAAATGTGTATGTCAGTCCAGCGTCGCCATAGGTCGCCTGCTTCCTGGGAACATTGTGCCACTTTCCAAACACCTGGACCTTGGCCAGTGCACCTGTGCAGATGAATCAGCTGCTCCATCCCTGGTCCTCAAGGGATGCAGACAGAGGAGCACAGTACACTCATCTGCTGGTCATTCAAAAGGGAGGGAACTGGAAATGGCATTTCCTCTGCTCCTTAGGTGTAATGCCCTGCTGGGGACCTTATCCCCGAAGTCACTATGGCATCTTGTCACTTCATGAAAGGGTATGATGGCGCACCCCTGTAATCTCATCACTTTGGCCCTGGCGCAGGCGGAACACAAGTTCCAGGCTAGTGAGTCTCAGAAGACAAAAGGTTGGAAAGCTGGCTCCGCTGGTAAAGTGCCTGCCACAAGGTGTGTCTGCATGGGCCTCAGATCCCAGTGCAGGGGCTCACCGGCCAGCTGGCCTAGCAAGCACTGGCTGCTCGTGCAGAGTTCCGAGGATCAATTCCTAACAACCACATGGTGGCTCACAACCATCTACAGTGATATCTGGTAAAACGAGGAGGGCACCCCCCCCCCCCCCCGCTGAGTGCACTGAGTACATTGGGCAGGGCTCTCTGGCTGCTATATGTGCACAGACCACTGCCACTAAAAATCAGTGGGCCACAAAAACAAAATGACAGAAAGTACAACGGGCTTGACACAAAGGGTTCTGCAAGGGTGGGGGAGAGAGAATGGGTAGTGTGCAAATAACCAAAACACGTCATACATCCACGAAATGGTTGAAAAATTAAAACAAACTACCGATGACTTGGTCTGTAGCAGCTGAGGCCCATCTTTCTCTTCCCTTTTAAAGACAAACGAAAAACCCAAAACATTGTTTTATGCATCAGGGCAGTGGTGGTGCACGCCTTTAATCCCAGCACTTGGAGAGACAGAGGCAGGTGAACTCTGTGAGTTCAAGGCCAGCCTGGTCTACAGAGTGAGTTCCTGGATATCCAGGGCTACAGAGAAACTCTGTCTCAAAACCCTTTATGTACTTAAAGTATTTTATTATATCTTGCCTCATGTAATGTCTGGGTACCCTGTATGTGTCTGGCCCCTTGAAGGCTGGAAAACAGTACCAGAGTGCCTAGGGCAGGAGTTACAGAGGGTTATGAGCTGCCATGTGGGATCTGGGAATCAAACCTGGGTCCCCTGGGAAAGCAGCCAGTGCTCTTAACTGCTGAGTCATCTTTCAACTTCTCACATTATGTATATATTTTTGGCCTTTAAAGACAAGGTCTCATGCAGCCCAGGCTGGCCTTGAACTAGCTCTTCGTTTAGCCTAGCATGACCTCCTACCTCCAAGTTCTGAAATTAAAGATACACACCACCATACCCTGGCTTCAGTTTTTAAAACTGCACGTTTGTTGCCTCCCTAAGTTAGAGTGTAAAGAGACAGACAGCTCTGAGCACAGTGACGTCCAGTCACGGCTGGATGGTTTGGCCAGCCGTGTGCACTAAGGGCCTACGGATTCATGGAAGATGGGGATTATTGCAGCTTAGGCTGGTACAAATGCTGCGTGCTCCTTGCAGCTTCTCAATATGTGGTCTCCAGGCAACAGCATCAGCACCACCTGCAAACTCTTCAGGGGCCGGCAGAGTTCTGAGTGGCTGCAGGCTGACCCACCCAGCCTTCAGTGAGAAACTGCCTGGCTGTCTGCGGTCTCTCCTACTGGACAAGCACAACCTGGCTGCACATGAGTGTTCGTTTTTTAAAATGCTGAAGTCTAACCTGAGGCTTGTGAGTGCTGCAGAAAGCACTACCCCTGGCCTGGAAGATAGCTGCACCTCGGGCTATTCTGACTCAGTATCACAAAGAACCCAGAATGGTTTGGGTTTTGTTTTTAACTACCGAGGTAATTCCAATCAGTACCCAGGTAATTTCTCTCTAGACCCTGTCACAGCCTGAGTTCACGCCTCTACTAATAGAGACGGATGTTTTCGCCACCTAAGCCTAACACCTAAAGTCCTGCGCTTACCGGTAAAATACTCCACTTTTTGCTCCAACTCTCGGAAGATCTCGTCTGCTTCGGCTTTGCCAAACAGGATGGTGTAATCGCAATTCAGACCTTGCGCGCGAAGGTGCCGCCAGTTGGGGTTTGGCTGACCGCCCGAGGCTCCTCCCGACGGGACTGGCTCCTCCCCTGCCGCTCGGAGGTCGCCCTGGTCTGGCTTCACCAGGAACCTGTCCATCCCGCCGCCCTTGCACAGCCGTGGAGGCTAGGAACTGCCTGGCGGTCCTTAGCCAGGTGGCGGGCTTGCAAACCCCACCGGCCTGCTCTTTTGTTTACGTTTTCGTAGCACAAGCCGACCTCCACCGCACAATCCTGCAGCCTCGGCCGCTCAGCTGCTGGGATCCCGGGCACACAGCCCCGGGCCCCGCCCGCTCCGGCTGCAAAGGCTACCGGTGGGAAGACGCACGCGCAGAGAGGCACGAGGTTCGCCCAAAGCCACCCAGAAAGCAGGGTGTCTCTGTCCTGCGGGGATGGGGCCGACACGGGAGGGTACCCGTGCTGCACCGGAGAGACTCAGTGTACGGAGCCCCGAGCTAGCGCTCCGCACAGAGACACGCAGCCCCGGGAGCCACATCCGCCTCCGCAGCCCGCGCGGGACTTCCGGCACAGCGCCACCTGCCGGCCCCTCTGCGCACCGCAGGGTGACGTCCGCCCCCATGGCTCTGCAATGTGAGGTCCTGGGCTCAGCTCACCGGGGTCCAAGAGCCTGATGTCGTACAGGATACGCCTCGTGGGTGGGTGGGCTTGGAGGGGGGGCAGTGTATAAACCTGCACATCTGGGAAAGCCACAGTCAAGATGAGAGCAACTGCACCATCGCACAAAATCCTCCCCCACGTACCATCGTACCGCCCGTCTACACAACCCTGACCTGCTGTCTGCTGTTCCTGGTTGCTGGGAGTGTGTGCTGTATAGCCTTTTCTGCTTGGCTTCTTTTTGTAAGCACAATGCTTTTAGATAAAACCGTGGGTTTGCTTTTGTTTTGTCTTTAGCATCAAGTACGGACATCATGTTTATGTAGTACACACATTTGTGCCGTTTGCACCAGTTTTTCTTGCTCTCATGGGCTGTATCCCGGCGTGCAGATGAAGCACTATATAAAGACTGTGGCAATCATTTCTGGCTCCAAGTGACACAGCACAATCACTATAAATATTCATGCTCAAACTTTATCCGTGAACGACTTTACTTCTCTTAGGAAAATGCCCAGGAGCGTGGTTGTGGGGTTGCACAGCCGGGGGGAAAGCATGTGTCTATGGTCTGCCTGCCTGTAGGAGCACACGCTGCTCTTTGATGGCGGCGCACTTCCTAAAAGCACTTCCTGTCCCTAAAAGCACTTCCTGTCCTGGACTCCCGCACCTTCCAGCAAGACACAGGTTCCTGCCTCACCCACACTGTGTTTTGGAGATGAAAACAGAAAAAGAAAGGTGTAAGAAAGACCCGGGAGTTACGAGCTGGGTGACAGGCTGGGGTGGGGTGGCGCAGAAGACCTTACAGTAGTAGGACAGGGTGTGAAGACCCTCGAGGGACAGCCGGGGAGCAGCCCAGAGATGCTAAGATGTTGGGAGTCTAGTCCGTGGTTTAGATTCGGAAGCTGGCTCGGCAGAGGTGGGGCCCAGCACTCCGGAGGCAGAGGCAGGCAGATCTCTGTGAGTTCGAGGCCAGCCTGGTCTATAGAGTTCCAGGACACGGTCCAAACCTACACAGAGAAACCCTGTCTCCAAATTAAAATAAGTAAGTAAGTAAATAAATAAATATTCGGAAGCTGTAGTCCACCCAGGCTGGCCTCTAACAAAACTATGTAGCCAAGAGGGGCATTGGGGTTCGCATCCTCCCGCCTAAACCTCCCAGATGCTGGGATTGCTCAAGCCAAACAAAGGGCCCGGAGTTCGGGCCCCGGGACCTTTAGGGAGGAAGGAGGGGAGCTGCGTCCGGCTGGGCAGGAGGAACCACCTGCAAGGCCTCTAGGCCTCCAGCGGCGTGAGATCACCAGCGAGGCCCGGAGCGAGCCCCGTGCCCGTGCACGAGCGAGGACGGGCGGGCAGGTAGCCCCGGGCGGGCCTCGCGAGCGCCACCTCGCCAGGGGCGGGGCCGCAGCCCCTCCCACACATGCGCGCTGGGCCCCACGCCCCCAGTCGCCACAGGCGCCAAGTGTGAGCGCCGCTGCCAGCGTCCCGGAGCCCGGAGCCCGCTGCAGGCATGATCGGCCAGAAGACCCTCTACTCCTTCTTCTCCCCGACCCCCACCGGGAAGCGGAGCACGCGCAGCCCCGAGCCGGCCCCGGGGCCCCGCGCGGCGGCCGAGGACGGCGGCGATGCGGTGAGGCGTGCGGCGGGGCTCGGGGGCGGCGGGGCTCCCGGGCTAGAGCACCGCGCGCAGCGCTGCTCGGCCACACCGGGCCTCCTTACGGGTTCAAAGCAGCCGCGCGCGTCCCCGGGCCGCCATGCCCGAGACGCCAACCAATGGGAACGAGCCCGGCCGCCGCCGGGCCAATCGGTGTGCAGCGTCCCCGCCCCTCCCTTCGCGGGGCCCAATCAGAGGCGGCAGCGGTTTTGCCGCGAAAAGGCCGCGTGGGCCTCGGGCGCACGCACAGGCGGGGGCAGCGCGGCGGCGGCCGGGGCGGCGGCTCAGGCCGGATCCGCTCGGCCATGGGCGTCTTCGGGCCGCGGCCGCTGGGCTTGGCGCGGAGCCTGCGCGGGCCGAGGGCTCGCGGTCTCACTCGCGACCCCGACTCCTCCTGGCAGGCCAGCCCCGCCAAGAAGGCCCGGGTCGGGCAGGACGAGCCCGGCTCGCCGCCCGCGTCGCCGCTCAGCGCGGAGCAGCTCGACCGCATCCAGAGGAACAAGGCCGCCGCGCTGCTCAGGCTCGCCGCCCGCAACGCGCCCGTCGGATTCGGCGAGAGCTGGAAGAAGCACCTGAGCGGGGAGTTCGGGAAGCCCTACTTCGTCAAGGTGCGCGCGGCCTCCTGGCCTGGGGAAGCCGGAGCCCGCGCCGGCCTCGAGCCAACCTGGGCATGGGGATTCTGCTCCTCCTGGCTTGGTGATGTCGTGGGGGGCGACCGGGCGTGAGCAGGACCGTCTGGGGAGGCTCCCCTCACGTGGGCCCGGGATTGGCCGGCTTGGCGCCAGCTGTCCTCATGACTTCCAGTAAGCCGCTAGGTTTGCGCGCCAAGGAAACCCTGTCGCGGTAAACCATCCACCGGACTGAATTAAAGATCTTCGCCTCCCCCCCCCCCTTTTTTTTAAAAAGAAAACCAGGGAAAGGAGATTGAGAGACCCGGGCTGTAATACCAACCCTTGAGAGATGTAGCCTGTAGGGTCCGGAGCTGAGAGCCTTTAAAAAAAACAAACAAAGGAAAAAGAGGCGGGGCCACTGAAATGAAAGTAGTTTGGCAAACAACCCTGATCCAGCCCGGAGAGAAAGGAAGGAAGCTGTCAGAGGGGAACAGGTGCCCGATTGGGTTGTTTTAAAAAAAAAAAAATTGGGTTTAAATCACGCCCCCCCCCAAAAAAAAGCCAATTAGGTTTTTAAACCTAATTGTTATGCTTTCCGGTGGGAATCTGCTGTTAAGCCTGGCTTATCTTTGAAATTAGCTGATGGGATTTGTCGCTGAAGAAAGAAAACATCACAAGGTCTACCCACCCCCGGAGCAGGTGTTCACGTGGACCCAGATGTGTGACATCAGAGATGTAAGTGAAACTGGGGTCTGGTCAGGGAAGAATCAGAATTTCCGAATTGCAGACCCTGGTGTTAAGCCAGAGGCAATGATTTAGTAGTGAGCCTGAAATGGTGAGGCTTGCATGTGTGGAGCTCGGAAGGCTGTCCTCAGCTGTTTATGTCAGCTGTGACTGCTATGCTATTCCCTTTGATATGTGTCACCCAAGTTATTTCAGTCTCTGGACCGCTGGGGCTGGAGAGGCGAGGGTGTTTCCCTTCACATAATGTGTTCAGTGTGGGGGAAGTGCTCAGAGGAGCCTTGTGCTAACATAGACCCATAATCTCAGCACTCGGGGGTTGGAGGCCAGCCTGGGCTACCTGAGACCCTGACCCCGAAACACAAAGGGCAAAAACGGGTGCTGTGTTGTGTGTTATACAGACATAGGAAGGGTAGCCTGGGGTAATGAGTGGCTCCTTCGCCGCCAATCTGCGGTCATTGGATGGCAAGCCTCTTGGTAACTCTCTGACTGTGGTGCCCTGACTCCACTGTCTTCCCCAGGAAGCCTTGCTCGTTGTCTTCCTCAGAACCAATTAGGAGTAGACCAAGTGAGCAGAACGCTCGCAGTTCAATAATCAACTTCCAAAACCTTCGCCTGGTGTCAGCAGGCCTGCCCCGGCCCACACTGTGCTGTTATTAAGCTCAGCCCTTGAGAGTGGATTTGGGTAGAGTGCATTGCCTAGAGGGCCGCAGGACACCCTAGAGTGTAGTTATAGCCTTGGTAGCTGTGCTGCGGTGTGAACCAGGATCCCGCCACGCCACCGTGCAAATGTGTGTGCCTTTTTATTTTGACACAGATCTACGTTGCCCTGGCTGACCTTGGTTTCTGGCTTAGCGGGGTTTTGGGTTTGGTTGGTTGGTTTTGTTTTCTGTTGTGTTTGATTTTTACAGTCCTGGGGAACGGAACCTACGGTCTCAGTTGTGTTTTACCACTCATTTTTGATGTGCTGTCTCCGCCTCTAAGATAGCTGGGGTTGTGGCCCAGGTGGCCGGTCGGTCCTGGCTCATCTTGGTATTCTGCAGGTTGTTGAGCTGTCCATTCCCCTGGACGTCTTGTTCTCAAGAGCTTCAGTGTGTGGAATCCTTCCATTTTCTCTCCCTGTTTTAAATAATTTGTATTTTATGTATCTTTAGGAGCGGACACACACCACTCTTGGGGTAGTCAGGGTAACTTCCCTCCACCATTGGGTTCTGGGATCGAACTCAAGCCATTGGGCTTTACCTACTGAAGCATTTCAAGTCGGTGTTTCGTTTTTAATGAGCACATACTGGTTGTGTGTGATTTACAGGTGTGGCATTGCAGGCATTGGGCACAGTCATCATTCATGCATTTTCGCCTGCAATGCCTTGGGAGGCCAGAAGAGGGCCCTGTGGGCTCTGGGACACCAACCAGCCTCTCACCTGCCGCACCATCTGCAGCCCTTTGCACCGTGTTGGAAATATCCCAGTCCTTGCTCCTGTTTCTGAAATGTTTAGTTGTCAGTTGCAGTTACCATAGTGTGTGGGTGTAGAGCATTAGAAGTTGGTAGCCCAAGCCTTTAATCCCAGCCCTTGGAGGCAGAGGCAGCCTGAACAGAATGGGTTCCAGGACAGTCAGAGCTGCACAGGGAAGTGTGTGAGGTCACTGGCAGTGGGTCCAAGATCTAACATTAGTGCACAAACTGACTTAGTGGGGTCCACTCTGTATGGAGAGATGCCTTGCTCAGCCTGGACACAGAGGTGTGGGGGATGGAGAGGCGCCTTGGTCCTGCCTCAACGAGATGATGGGACAGACTTAGTAGACTTTCCAGGGGAGGGGGGCTGGGATTGGAATGTAAAAAGTAAATTAATAATAACTCTTAAAAAGAGTTGCTCATCCTGACCCCGCCACGTCCCTCCCAGATTGCGCTAATCTCCGTTCTCTACCTCCAGAAAGTGAGCTTTCTGTGTCACGTGGTCAGGCCTGGGTGGCGCTTAGCCTTCGCCTGCTGTCTGTCTCCTGGGTCAGGTTACCCGCTGGCCACCTCAGCGTGGGTCTTGGCTGCACTGGTGTCTTGCGCCCTAGCCTTGCCCCTGCCGTTGGCCGTCTTTGGAAGTTAGTAAATATCGCACTCGGGTAGATGACGTCTTCGTGCTGCGGGCATGCCTGACCCTGAGCAAATCCCACAACTTGTACCTCAGGAAGTGGAAAGTGGGGCTCCTCGTTGTTGGTTCTCAGGCACCTGGTAGGGACACAGCTCAGGGAGCAGGTGCTCTGTCCACAGTTGTCCTTAGCCTGCCCCCAGTCCTAGAAGAAAGTCCCGTGTGCCCAGGTTCTATACCGTGGAGACGGTGCCGGTGCCAACTCAAGCAGTGAGATGGACAGAGCGTGCAGTGGGAATCAGTTTGCAGGTGAATTCTAAGGCACAGAGCGTCAGCCATAGAGGAAATGCTAGAGGACAGGGAGGCAGGACTGTCCAGAGACAACCTTTCCACACTGACAGGGGCAGCCTCCACGGCCACTCGCGTGCGTCTGACCTGGACTCCTGTGGGTGTTGCTGGTGAAGTCCTGCGGGCATCAGCTGTTGGGGGTCTGAGCGCCGGTCTGTGAAAGCTTAGATTGGGCTCTCCGCCCAGCCGTGTTTTCCCATAACGAGAGACGGGCTGACTGCCTAGAGGGGCTGCCATGGTGTGCCCAGCATTTTGACATTGTCGTCTACAAAGGCTGTGTTTGTGTGGTCCGTGTGGTGTAGGGACTCTCACATGGGTACTGAGAAATGATTGGCTTGCAGTGGCCACCTCCCCCACCCTCTTGTGGTGCTGACTTGTGAGGGGCTAGGGCGGGTCCTCCATATGTTTCTGAGTATTTCCGCGGTACAAGTTTTATCGTGTAAGGAGCAAGAAAACACCAAACTCCTAGTGGGCCGTTGCGTCGAGGCCACTGAGTGGAGGATGGGTCGGTAATGTGGCTGCTAGTGTGTGGTGGGCTGCTCTTCCTGGCTCCTCACCTGGGCCCTGGGTGGAGCCCTGCTGTTGGTTGTGGTGACCCGCTGTGTCCCTCTGAACCAAACCTGGTATGGTGTGATCTTTGCATTCACAGGTGAAGGTTGTCATCCTGGGACAAGATCCCTATCATGGACCCAGTCAAGCTCACGGGCTCTGCTTCAGTGTCCAGAGGCCGGTGCCACCTCCGCCCAGGTACTCCCAGAGGACGGAGGATGGGTGGCATGGTCGGGGTGGCTGTGTGGCTCAGGTCTCCCCAGCGCTCACGGGGGAGGTCTGCAGGAGAAGGTGACCTTGTTTCTCACATTCTCACACCCACCTTGGAGAGTTGGATTTGTAGACTGCTGGAGATTCTGATTGATTGTGCTTTTTTATTCTGCCTTGTTTTCAGTTTGGAAAACATTTTCAAAGAGCTGTCTACAGACATCGATGGCTTTGTTCATCCTGGCCATGGGGATTTGTCGGGGTGGGCCAGACAAGGTAACCAAGCCTAGCTAGGCCTATTTGGGACCAATGTCAGCAGCCTGTACATGCGCGCCCCCTCCCCCCCGTGCCTCTTATTTGTTTGATTATAATTTAATGTCTGTCCCTCTCTCCGTGTGTGTATGCGTGTGTGTGCGTGTGTTGTGCGCGCGCGCGCGTGTGTGTGTGTGTGCGCGTGCGTGTGTGTGTGTGGGAGGGCAGAGGTGATAAATTCCCTGAAGCTGGAATTGCAGGCAGTTGTACACTGCCCAACATGGGTCCTCGGGATAAACTCGGGTCCTGCGAGCGTTGCTGTGCTCTTGACTGCTAATCCATCGCCAGTCCTGTTGCTATGGTTTTGTTTGGTTTTGTTTTTGATACAGGGTTTCTCTGTGGCTTTGGAGCCTGTCCTGGAATAGCTCTTATAGACCAGACCGGCCTCAAAGTCACAGAGATCCACCTGCCTCTGCCTCCCTAGTGCTGGGATTAAAGGCGTTTGCCACCACTGTCTGGCCGGTTGCTATGTTTTTAAAAAGATGGCCGTACTTTAAGGGGCTCTGACGTGGTCCTGGAGGCTCCTTTATGCCTGTGTTAGTTTCAACATGCTTGCCCTGGGCACTTGGCTCTTGGCTTCTAACAGGTTAATTTTATTGCCATCAACTATTTTGGGCCCATTTTCTTTTCTGGTTCCTTAATAATCACTTAGGGTATGTAATTTTGAACACTGTTGTTTTTTTTTGTTGTTGTTGTTCGTTACCCAAAACTGGAAGATGAAACAAAACGTCCTGAATCTGGCTCAGAGGTCACTGCTGGCCGTGTTGAAACGCTCTTTGTGGCCTGATTTCACTTCTGCCCTGGGTCTCTTGTGAGTAGCTTGGTCAGTTGTCTCCTAACCTTTGTCCTCACTGTGTTCACAGGTGTCCTCCTCCTCAATGCTGTCCTCACTGTCCGCGCCCATCAAGCCAATTCCCATAAGGAGAGGGGTTGGGAGCAGTTCACTGATGCGGTTGTGTCCTGGCTAAACCAGAACCTGCATGGCCTTGTCTTCCTGCTCTGGGGCTCTTACGCTCAGAAGAAAGGCAGCGTCATTGACAGGGTATGTGTCCTCTACGCCGCTCTGCAGAGAGCCAGGGGACCTCCGGGCCCCTATGGTGTGCACAGCCATAGATCTACCTGTAGTGGCTCCTGTGATCTCGTTTACGTAGGAGGCTGAGGCGGGAGGGTTGCCACGAGTCGTGGCCCAGCCTGGGCTATGGAGTGACACAGTGGGAATGGTCACGGTGCTCTTTGCAGTTAGTAACATGAGAGGCATTAATTAGCTTGCCCTGTAGTAAGGACACCGTGGACCCTGATACTGTGTTTACGTGTGATGCGACGCTTGATGAATAAGGCGAGTGTCCTGTTTCTGAGAAACTTGGAACCGTGCAGAAAACAGGCGTTCCGCTGAGTCAGGCAGGGTTTTTCCACAAGTGCAGGGTGGTGAGGCCTTCCGCCTGAGCGGCGCTTGTGAATGCCCAGAAGAACCAGGGCACTTCCGTTTTCTCCTCCTGTCCCTGCTTCAAGACTGCACACTCACGTAACCTGTCACCGAGTCACTGAGAAGGAGCCCGAGCCCTGTCACCCTCCTCCCAGTAAACCCTGTCTCACAAGTCAGCCCAGGCACCTGTGGCTCTGAAATGTCCCAATACTGCTTCACTGTGTCTGCCATCCATCACTCCTGGGCTGGGCGCCAGTGTTTCCCGGTAGTGATGGCTGCAGGTGGATGTAGACGCCATGAGCGGCTTTTGAGGTGGGGACACTCGCCCAGTGTTATCGTGGGGCCAGACAGTGGCAGCTGGGGACACGCCTCAGCATTAGGAGCACTCCACTGCCCTTAGAGGGGACCAGGGTCACGTTCCCAGCATCTCACAGCCGCCTGGCTTTGAACCTAGCGCTATGCAGCACGTGGTGCCTTTGAGCTCCTCTGTGAGGGGCCACGCTTTGCAGTTTTGCGCCAAGTGTGACTGAGTCCGGGCAGCGGGAGTAGCTGGGCACTGAGGTGTGGCCGCCTGTCATTGCACGCGGTGCCCTGGGCCTCGGAGCCCAGCAAAGAGCTTTGTGTTTGTGAGTGCTGGGGGTGAGCTGCGCAGCCACCCCAGGTGCGGTGGCTGTGTTGACAGGGTGCTTCTGTTCTTTTTCAGAAGCGTCACCATGTCCTGCAGACGGCCCACCCCTCTCCGCTGTCGGTGTACAGGGGCTTCTTTGGATGTAGACATTTTTCTAAAGCCAATGAGCTGCTCCAGAAGTCTGGCAAGAAGCCCATCGACTGGAAGGAGCTGTGATGTCTCCACGTGGTTCTGAGATGCTTCCGCTAAAGCGCTGGCTGGTTTGGAAGTCACTGGAAATGTCCCTATTCTTGATTCCCTGTGTGTGAAGAAAATGGGAGACCCTTGTAAGGCAGCCACCAGACAGACAGACCCCAGAAACCGCGGCTTTGGCATCCGGAGCTCTTGACTGCCGCTAGGTTTGAACTCTGGGCCAGGCAGAGTGGCCTGGCCACACACGCCTACTTCTCACAGACCAGTGGTCACATACTTGTCCTCTCTGGACTGTTTTGGATTAGGGGAGAGTTGTACCTTTTTCATGCCTGCTGCTGTTTACTTTTGCCTTTAGACTAGAGGTTACAAGGTGTGTGTGTTCTTCAAGGGGGCCTGTCTCTAAGGCGGCCTTGGATGTTTCCAGATCTTGAGACTCTTTTCCCTGATTGGGGTGGGGTTGTTTCCGGGCCTCAGGAGGGGCTGCTACTGTCCTTCTGGCCGCTTGTCCGGGTCGTTGCCTTAAGCAAGTGGTGAAGTTGAGCAAAGCAGAGGACAGGGTTTGTTTTGTTTTAAATTAGGGGCGGAGTCTTCCAGTGCCTGTGGAGGTGGAATTTTCCCACAGCGGATTGCCAGATGTTAGTTTGTGTGATACTGGGGGTTCAAACCTAGAGTGCTGGTTTTATGGGTTGAAGTCATACAGATTTTATTTTAATATAACATTGGAGAACGTGTTTTCCGAGGTAGGTGGGTACATCTGCATTTTCAATCCTTTTTTGAGATACTGAGATGTACTGAGTTTAGGCCTCAGCCCGGATTCTGTGAGTCCAGCTGGCCAGGGCAGGATAATAAAAGCGCATTGGCGTTTGCCTTGTACCCGCTCTGGAGCATTTCTCGACAGGTGCCTCTGCGTTGTTTGTCGCCGAGCCACCCACTTACGGCGTGCAGGGTAGCTCTCCACGGGGCCACCCACTGCCAGCCTGGGGCAGCTTGCTGCTCTGCTAACTGTGGCCTTGGAACCATCAAGGGGCAGGGTGTGGCTGAGTGAGGCTGGGTGCACATAGCAGGCCCCCTGAATTGTGGTTTGGAAGCTGCTTCCTTACTGGTCTCCTTGTCTGCAGAAGGTGGCTTTAAGATTCATGTTTGGGATCAACAAATAGGCTTCGTGAGGACACCTGAGTTTGCCTGTCGGTCCCTGCAGGGGCCCTCCCAGAAGCTATGCAATGAACTTTACTCAAAGGCAAAGTGAGGGCCCAATCGCTGCACAACTCGATGTAAGAACTGCATTGAAAGGCAAGGAGCAGAGAGCCGTCGATTAGTTTTAATAAATCTGAAGGGCAGTTGTGGCACACCCTTGGGAAGCAGAGACAGGTGGATCTCGAGTCCTAGGACTGCCAAGGCCACACAAACCCTGTGTTGAAAATCCGAAAGAATGGGAGGGCTGGGGAGGTGACTTGGTGATTGAAGGCACTGGCTGCCCTTGCAGGAAGACCTGGGTTTGGGGCTTTTGTTCCCATCTCTAGTTCAAGGGGAACTGATCCTGTTCCTGGCCTGCATGAATACCATCTACTCATGTACATGCAGGTAAAACACCCAGCCTTAAGCTTTCTGTGTTGTAGTAAAATGCCGGAGGCAACTTGGGAAAGAAGATTTGACCTTACAGTTTGGGGAAATCGGGACAAGAATGGCGGGAGCTGCTGGAGAGGCCATGAGGGACCGCTGCTTCCTGGCTTGCTCAGCTCGCTTTGTGTTGTAGCACGGGGCCCACCAACCTGGGGGAAACGCACATGGGTGAGCCGGGCCTCCCACATCAGTCATTACGAAAATGGAAAACAGGTGGTGGCTCCTGCCTCTTAATCCCAGCACTCAGGAGGCAAAGGCAGGCGGGTCTCTGGGTTGTAGGAGAGACAGAGCTTCTTGGGGGGGGGGACACAAAACACGTTTACCTACACCCCGATCTTTGCTTTGGAGCCTGTCCTGGAACTCCGTAGACTGGTCTGGCCTTTAGAGATCTTCCTGCCTGTGCCTCCTGAGTACTGGGACCACAGGCACGTGCCACTACTGCCTGGCCTACGCCCCAATCTTAAACATTTTCTCCCTCTCAGATGACCCTTAATTTTGTCCATTAGAACTTTATCTAAAATGAACGCACGCACACTTGCACTGAGCTGGAGACTTGGCTCTCCTTTGGAACTACTTACTCATCTTCCGGGGAGCATGAGTTTAGTTGCTGTGCTCCGGTGGCTCCCAGCCCTCTCCCTAAACCCTGTACTCTGGATCTGACACCTCTGGACGGATGCCTGGGCCCGTGTGCACATACTCAGCTGAAGACCTACACACCTAGACACAAATAAAAATAACGTCATTTAGAAACGTCTCACACTGTTGATGGGCTAGTGAGCAGGGTGGCTCAGTGGGTGGTGCTGCTGAGCTTGAGGACATGAAGTCCCCGAGTCTACATGATGGGAACAGAACGGATGTCACCCCAGCCCTGAGGGGTGGGACACAAGTGGGCACACATAGCCACTCATGACTTACTATAATTTTGAATGGGCTTGCTGGGATGTGACTGAGTGGGTGGAGAGCAAAAGTTGACACTGGGCTGGAGACAGGACTGGGTGGGGCCCTTTCCACCAGGCCTGACCTGAGCCCTGCGGGTTGTCCTAAGACCTCCACATATACAGAGAAGTGGGCTCTGCTACTCTGCCCCACAAAGTTAGCTTAAGTTTATCAGGGTGTGGTGGTGCACACCTTCAATCCCATTACTCATGAGGCAAAGGCAGATGGTCCCTGAGCCCAAGGCCAACCTGCTCTACACATCAAGTTCTGGGACAGCCAGGGCTGCACAGACCCCATCTCAGGTTGAAGCTGCTACCGCACATCTGTGGTCCAGCACCCCTTAGGCTGACAGTTCTCAGTATGTGGGTTATGACCCCCTTAGGGGTTGAACAACCCTCTCAGGGGTGGCATATCAGATGCTTACATTGTGATTCATATCAGCAACATTACAGTTATGAAAAGCTTTAGGGTTGGGGGTCACGGCAACATGAGGAGCTGTATTAAGGGTCGAAGGATTAAGAAGATTGAGAACCACTGGCTTAGACTGAGGTAGGAAGATCTGGAGTTAGAGGCCAGCCTGGCTTCATAGCAGGACCGTCTCAACAGTAAAAGATGGATGGCATAATGGTAAATAGGCGTGGAAACAATATATATAGAAAGTTCTGGAAGGTGAAGTTGCTAAGGGTTTGCTCTGTAGCCCACACTGGCCTTGAACTGGCAACCCTGCCTCAGCTTCCCAAGTTCAGAAATTACAGGTGTGGGTCACCATGCCCAACCAGACATCTGTTTTTCGAGATAGGGTTTCTCTATGTAGTTTTGGATCCTGTCCTGGAACTCACTCTGTAGACCAGGCTGGACTCAAACTCAGAGATCCATTGCCTCTGCCTCCTGAGTGCTGGGATTAAAGGTTTGCGCCACCAATGCCCGGCAACAACAGAGCATCTTAAATGATGTGTGGCCCAACTCCACCCACAGAAAAGACAAGTTAATCATTAAATATATACAATAGCAAAAGCCTCAATGAGGTATGTGGCAGTAGTTCCTTTTGGGGGGGGGGCTCCACATTGCAGATGTTCTTCAGTGCTGTACAGAAACAGGACCAGAATCCTCGGGTGGCCCGAGTAGACGTAAATGTTAGGTTTGCAGACATCTAGTCTCGGAACTGCTGAAGTCTTGAGAGAAATAACCAAGGACAGCCTGTAAGGGGGCAGGTGAGGCTGTGTAGTGGTGACATGAAGAATTAAATCAGATTTTCACGTGTCCCGGTAGCCGTTGCCACCCCAACCTCCATCCCTGCCCCCAACACATGATAAATGTAGACACCGCCTGCCTCGGACAGCCTGATGGCCCTCGTGGACTCTGCTGATGGAGTGGGAATGAAATGCCCAGGGGAAAGTTTCCCTAATTCTGGCTAAGCCGAGGATAGAAGGAAGCTTTCCTGCCAGACAGAATTGTATAGATCTGAGTTGCTCTGCATAGCCAGGTATCAGAGGCAACCCGTGTGTAGATCTGAAGGATCTATGTGGCACAGTGTGAGAGGCCTGTGAAGAGCCACCTGAAAAGAAAAAAAAAAAAATGGTTCCACCTCCTTCCAGGGTAAGGAAGTCAGTTATGCCAATGCCATCCTGGGAACCCCAAGTTATAAAGTAAGTGTGTCAAAGTGCACTCCCTGGATTTGACAGGAGCCCAGCAGCGCAGAGTTGGATGCTGGTTCTATTGTTGAGTCCTCTCTCTGAACCTCCCGCTCTCTTCAGGGGGTTCAGGGATAATTCTCAGGGCTTCCAGTGGAAAAGCACAATTTAGGGGGTGTGCTGTGATACTAGCAGCTTTTCAGCTCAGCCTTACTAAAACTTAACGATGGACGAGGGCAACAGACGCTTGAGTTGGCCCAAGTCAACCTGAGCACCCTCCCCCCAGCTCAAGCTGAGCAAAGACTGGAAGCTTCCCTGAGATGTCTCTGCAGAGTCCCGCCGCTTCAGTCGGGGTGTCAGGACTTAGGTCTAATTCATGCCAGCGTCGCTTCCCAGCAGGTGCCACATTTTTCTATGCCACCCGGCCCTTAACGACCGTTTGGAATGTGCACATCTGAATCTAAGATACTTTGAAGAGCTTTTAATATCCTTGTCTTCAGTATGAAGAACCCCATTTGTATTCTACGAAATACATCTTTTGAGACAGTAGCATATTAGTTGTACAAATAATGGGTCTCATTGGGACATTATCAGTGTGTATAGCGTGTGTGCATGCGCACATACACAGGCATGTAGGGGCCAGGGTTGTCACAAAAAGCACAGGTTGTTTAGTGCTTTTTGTTATGTGTGTGGGACATGTGTGTGCATACTTACATGTGTGGAGGTGCTTCTCTGTACATGTGGTGGTGAGGGTTCAAAGTTGACATCGAGAGTCCTGGATAGCTGATCTCTGAGACCAGCCTGGTCTGCAAGAGCGAGTTCCAGGACAACCTCCAAAACCATAGAGAAACCCTGTCTCAAAAAACCAAAAAGACAGAGTCCTGCGTAGCACCCGACCATGTTCACTGTGGCGAGGGGTCAGCTGAATCCCAAGCTCACCAGCTAGTCCAGCCCACTCTACCACTAGCTGCTGCTGCTTTCTGAACTTTGGGGTTACAAGGCCACCAGAGCCACCCAGTTTAAACTAGAACTTTTGTCTTCATGTCCGCATGGCAAGCGTTTTATCCACTGGGCTATCTCTAGCCCTCCACCCTGCTTGGCAAGCGTTTTACCCACTGGGCTATCTCTAGCCCTCCACCTTACTGTATTGAGTCAGGGTTTGCTATTGAACCTAAAGCTCATAATAGTGCTGACTGAGCTCTGGAAGCCCCCTGTACCCATGTAGTCCGCTCCCCCAGCCCCTGGCTGTGCCCGACACTGGGGTTACAGACATGCCAGCTTCTACATGGGTGCTGGGGAATCTGAATTCAGCCCCTGTCCTTGCACAGCCATGTTTACCATCGAACCCCACAACTCCCACATGAATGTAGAGTAGTCCACATATTAGACCATTGCAGAGCCTCGAAGCTCTCCTTGTCTTCGTCTGTGACGGTGGTTTTTTTTTTTTCGGAGACAAGGTCTCATGAGGTAGGTAGTTCTGGCTGTCCTGGGACCAGGGGTTTGCTTGGCACTTGATCTGTATGGGAGAATAGCTGTGTGGCACCATACCCGGCAGGAAGTGCTTCCTTAGACCGGTCAGCCACGTGGGGTCCACACCTGTCATCCATCCCTGCCGAGGCTGATGGAAGAGGCCTGCACAGGTTCCAGGGCAGCCTGGGCTGTGTGAATTTCACTCAGTCTCTCAAC